ACATGTATTTACAATAGTATAACTAGCAATAATTTAAAAAAGTTGCTTTTACCGTTTTATTTAGGTGCAATAAGCCTACTGTTTTTTTGTAAATGACTAAAACATATCTAGAAAAAACTTAAGCACTTATGGTTATGTGTAATAAAATAATAATAAAAACCCTAACCATTCGTGTATTAAACTGTAAGTGTTAATCATTTCTTGTTGAAGCTTTATGTTAAAGAAAACTAGAATAAATTCTAGGCACTTCAGTGTTCTACATTTAAGACTATTCTATATTAAAAATTATTGAAAAATGTTTTTTATACTTTGGTGAATTATCATTACACTGCGTAAAAGTGCATTTTGCTTACAATAATGGGCTTAAAATAGTATTTTTAGAATTAGACCGGTGAAGATTATGGTCGGTGGTCTGTCTATTGCAGTTTGTCGCCGTGTTGGGTTTAACCCCTTCGAAAATCATCATTTAGCTGATCGGCCTTGATTTAATGTAGTTTTTCAAAAATATAAAAACATTACGTTGTTTTAAATGTGTATGGACTTAATAAACTTTGTATTTATTTCCAACCAAACCTCATAAAACGTTTGAATATAATATGTAGGTGTTTTACCGCAACATAATAAATAGTTTAAAGGTAAAAAGTGTTTTTAATTTTTTTAAGATTACTGTTAAAACTATTAATAATATTAAAAGAATATAAAAAAGTTGTATGTTGTTTGAATATTTTCTTAATTTATACTAAATTATAAATACTATTTGAGTAACATTCATTTAAACACATACCTGTATTGGATTGGTCGACAAATGCTTATCCAACAGTCGCCGGACGGTTTTCAAAAATTCTTCGTCTCAGTAAACACAATCGGGCACTCCTTTCGAGTTTCGATCATTGTTATCCATGTAAAAAGTCACTAAAAACAAACAATCAAAAAAAAATTACCATTGAAATAATTGAGTTCCATCGGGGAAAAAATTGCTCGAGTTGATGCAAAAGTAAAAATCATAGATAATGTTTATTGTTTATTTATCGGTATGGCGATTTGGCTTTTGTCCGTCGCTAAGCACATTATTAGTCGTGTATAATGACCAAATATTAATATATCAACTATAGTGATGGAAATCCACAAAAAAAAAAACACTATTTAAGCCACTTAAAAATCATACAAGTAATAAATATTATTACAATTTTTAGCTGTGTACGTTAAGACGTATAATGGATAAAATTACAAAAATAAAACACAACACTAAAAAGATAAATTGCTTTTGGGTTTCGGATTTTACTTAGGTAGGTACACAGATTTTTTTTTTTTTATTGAAATATCAACATAAACTATAGGTACACAGCTTTATACTGTAATGTTATTTAACAATTTATACGATTTTGTAAAGTGGCTGAAATAACGTTTTTTTGTGGAAATCCGGACTCCCGATTTCTCATCACCACTTCAAGCATATTTTAAACTAATTTGAGTGTATTTAAATAAAATGTTGATAATAACCGGTAAAGAATATTAGATAGTCGTATACATTTATGTTTAAATTATCCTGTTTGGTACTAAAAAAAATACTAGATATAAATGAAAATAATAATAATAATATAAACCACAAACATACGTTCAAATAATTGGTCGACAAATGGAATTTTTCGTCAGCAGCCGTTTGCGAAAATTCTGTCGTCTTAGTAAACATAATCCTATTTCGGTCGCTTTTATTCATTTGAAAAGTCACTAAAAAAACAAAATAAAAATACATTTCTAAAGAAATCATTAAACTTTATTAAGAAAAAAAAACGTTTGGGTCGACGTTAAAATAATGATTATACTTTGTTTATCGGCATGGCGATTTTGCATTTGTCAGTTGCTACGCACATTATATTAGTCGCGTATAACGATCGAATAATAATATATTTTTAGTAAGCTATAATTTGTCTTTAGCCAGTACAAACATTAAACGTAAAAACTATATTAAATAAAAATTGTAATTAAAAATTTAAATCAAAAAACCAACTGTAAAAAAACGCTAAAACTAAAAAAGTTGATCATCACCCTTAAATTTCTTTGAAATATTATATAAGAACGTTGCAATCCTTGGTTGTCTTCATTACTGCCAGTTATTTTTAAAATGTTCTCTCTTGTATACTTTTAAAATTGTTTAACAGAAAATACAAATCAAAATAGCCGACGACTGCAACATTCAATTTCGACAACATTCTATCTAATAATGGCAATCCGAAAATACGTATTTTCACAAATAAACGCTATTTAAGCCACTTAAAAATTATGTAAGTGTTCAATATTATCACAATATATATATATAGCTGTGTACTCAATTATTTTAGTGATAATTTTACTTTCTATTTAAACTAAATTGATCGAATGGTCTAAAATTTGATAATAACCGGTCGAAAAAAATATCTTATTCCTACTATGTATAAAACACGTTTAAATATTACATAAAATTTTAGATTTTAAATCAGTAGTTGTATTAATAAAAAATACAAATTTGTTATGTTAGTCAAACACTTTAGAACAGTTTGCATGCGGTTGGTTTTTAAGGAGTTTTGTATAGGCATTATTTAAGAAAAAAGTGGTTTTAATAAATTTCGATCATGGTATATGTATAAGCTTCATGGTATTATTTTTAATTTAAATTATTTTGTCTATGAGTAAAAACCATTTTAGTTAATAAAACATACATTTTTTGTTCCATCGCACAGGCTGAACCGGTGATTCGATAAGTAGTCTGAAAACAGATTTGAATTCGTCATGAAGTTTACTTATGATCGGTCAGAGTACTTTTTTGATATCTTATTCCTACTATGTATAAAACATGTATAAATATTATATAAAATTTCAGATTTTAAAATCAAATTTGGAAAGGGTTAAAATTAAAAATTGAAAAAAGTACCCTGACCGATCATAAGTAAACTTCATGGCGAATTCAAATCTGTTTTTAGATTGCTTATCGGATCACCGGTTCAGTCTGTGCAATGGAAAAAAAATGATGTGTTTTGACTGAAAAAACCGACCGCATGCAATCCCCTTAATACTAAAAAAAGAATATTAGATGGTCGTATAAAGTTATGTTTGAATTTTTCTGTTTAGTACTAAATAAATAATATAAACATACATTGAAATTGGTCGATAAATGGAATCTTGGTTAACATCATCCCTTCGATTTCTTTTATTCATTTGAAAAGTCGTAGTAAATACAAAATAAAAATACATTTTTATAAAAAAATGACTGAACTTTATTAAGAAAAAATAATCGCTTCGGTCGACGTTAAAGTAATGATTATAGTTTATTTATTGTCCAGGCGATTTTGATTTTTCCGTTGCTAAGCAAGTTCAATAAAAAAAATCAGAAAATAAATTCAAATATATCGTTACCATAAATTAAAAATCATACCGATTGTATCATTTATGTTACTATAGAAGGCTTAAAAATAAATTATTACATAAATAAACTATTCGTATGTATTATTTGTTTATTTCTCCGATATAAAAAATAACCGTTTTATTTACTTAAAATTGAATACAATCTTTCCAAAAAACAGATCACCGGTTTCCATTCCCTTTGGTAATTAAATCTTTCTATAGCATGCGATTTTGGGGTCGGTTTAATTTCATTCAAAATCATACTTGAACGCACAAAAACTTTAGACATATTTTAGACGTATTTGCAATGCCTTTATTGTGAGTGAAATGGCGATAGTGTTCTTTAGGATTGATCACAAAGAGATAAACACTAATTGTTAGTTCGCATGGAAAATTTTTATACAAAATACATTATATATACGAGTATTTATTTAATCTTTGCCTTTTGTTGTGAAAAGGGGGGGGGGTATAATAAGTGGTTTCTCAACTTTGTACTTAACGAATATTGTACAAATAATAATAACTTAAACGTATACTTACAGTTTGGTCGACAAATGCTCTTTCGACTTCTGAAAATTTCTTACGTTTCGGTAAGGGTAAACATAATCCTTTCGATCACTGTTATCCATTTGAAAAGTGGCAGTAAACAATAATATTCAAAAGAATATTCTCAAGAAATGATTGAATTATTTTATTAAGACAAAAATTGTTAATATAATGATTATTGTCTATTTCCGTTGCTTAACAAATTATTAGTCGTGTATGGCGAACAAAAATTGTTATTATAATCATTCGTACATTAAAGTTATTTTTAGCCAATACAAAGAAAAAAAAACTGTATTCCCGATTTTTTCCCTGTTCATCAAGTTATGTACCCACGCTCATTTATAATATACCTAATGTATTATACACGTTTAAAAATAAAGTAACCGTAGTAGATCGCAGTAGAATGAATATAACTTTTTTTGTCGACCATTAATAATAAGCGGTGATATAATACAAATACAATTGATAAGCCCCATTTATTATAAAAATATTGTGCAAATGAAATAATAATTAAAGAAAGTGAAGAAGCGCCATTGTAATTGGGGCTAATGTGATACACCCTGTAGATTCATACGGTCAGTGTCAGTTTAGATTCCGTAGAAGTAGAAAACAAAGGCGCTAAAATAGAAAAAAAGAACTTTTTAATTTTTTTTTATAAGCGTGTAATGCAATAAAAAAAAAAAAAAAACGAAACTCGGCTGATGAGCAGTCAACAAAATGATAGAAAACAATGATTGTGCGATCAGGGGGGCGATGGCGGCAGATTCGGCGGTAAAAAAAAAAAAACGATAGGTATGTCCATAGCGATTCGCGATGACCGCGACACGGCCATCGGCGTTGTCGGACGGCCGTGTGTTCTTGCGGCACAACCGGGGCCGCCATGACGGTTAACCGACGACGCCATTAATCGTCGACATACCTCTTCGGTTGGCCGTGCTATAAACAAAGCCACGCCGCCATTGGCCGAATCAAAGCTGTCTTGGCAGAAAAACGTGCGTACTCTTGACAATCCAAACCGTATATTATTACGGTTGTCGGTTTTTTTTTTCGTAACGTTATTATAGGTATTATTATTATTCTGCGCGTTGACTGTTATTGTTAATTAATTCGTATAGTACAATATATTCGTAATGTAATTTTTGTGTTGTACATTCATGTTTTACAGCCGTAGTGCGATTTGCACGCGAAAATGGAACCGTCCAACGATTCGATATGCGTGCGTTCGATGCGCCTAGATTCAATGCTAAACGGGCCCACCATTATGTCCAGTAGGGCTTTGGACAAGGAATTGCTTTTCGATTCTATTACACTGATGTTCGACGAGTGCAACAACGATGTGATGAAACGCGATCCGTCCATTGCCAGTTTCTTGGACAAATGTGAGATTTTTTTAAATTTATTTATTTAATTTTTAGCAGGTACCGTACTACCAAAATTGGTAGTAGGTACGTACCACCAATCAGCTATCTCCTATTGCAATGTGTTGTTATTGTTATGCATATTCAGTTAAAATGGTCGTTCCCGAATTGAAGTCGCTACGCGTCAATCGATTGGATTTCGAATCCAAGCAAGTCATCGGCAAGGGAAACTTTGGAGAAGTCGAACTCGTCGTTGAAAAACATACCAACGATATATTCGCCATGAAAGTGTTGAAAAAAGACAATTTCGACAATCACAATGTAATATAATATAACCTGTATTTTTCACTTAACGATCGTCTGATTATTATTTTTAACAACTGCCGTAAATGAGTATGTTTGTAATTTTTTTTTTTTTTTTAATTGCCCTTAGATCGCTTCCTTTGAACACGAGAGAGACATAATGGCATCGTCAAGTTCTCCGTTTTTAACACGGTTACATTATGCTTTCCACGACTTTCAAAATTTGTACCTTGTAATGGAATACCACCCAGGCGGCGATTTTGCTCATTTAATAGACAAATTTAACGGCACTCTACCAGAAGACACTGCTAAGTAATTTAGTTGGTAACAATTGTAGAAAAATAACGGCTAATTCATTGGCGAACATTTTTTTTTTTTTTTATATAGATTTTATATAGCCGAGTTATTATTGGCTGTAAAACACTTACATGCTATGGGTTATGCTCATCGTGATATTAAACCAGAAAACATGATGTTAGATCGTACTGGACATTTGAAGTTGGTAGATTTTGGTTCTTCGGCTAAACTTGATCGTGACAATATAGTCAAAACTAGAATGGCCATTGGTGCTTCGGAATATATAGCCCCTGAAGTCTTACAAGTAAATAGTAGAGATAAATTAAAAAAAAAAAAACTTTATTGTTTTAATTTTTACACAGTTTATGGAGTCGAGTTCAATAGACGGTTATAGTGCTCTATGTGACTTGTGGTCAGCTGGGATTGTGGCGTACAAAATGGCAACGGGAGACACTCCGTTTAACGCTGAACAACAAGCGGTGATTTATTCCAACATTTTAAGTTTTGATAATTCATTGAAGTACCCGTCTTTTTCCAATATATCTCCAGGTTAGTTAAATTTTAATACAGTTTGTAAGTAATTAATTTGTATTTACTAATGCAACGAACAAACATTTTCAGCCTACAAGCAGATGATAGAATGTTTGGTATGTCACGTAGAAAAAAGATTCACAGTGGACATGATGATTAACTTGGAAATATTTTCTAAAATAAATTTTGACTCTATACATGAACAAGTTCCTCCATGTGTGCCGTCGTTGTCTTCCGATAAAGACGTTACAAACTTCCCGATACATGAGCGAGCTCGTCCGACACTAAATATGCAAAATTTCAAAGTAAGCACAATATTAATATTTTTAATGGATCTAACTTATTGATTTTAATTTGTGTTTTTAGAAGCAAAAACAATTCTCCGGTCGAGATTTGCCATTCATAGGTTTTACGTATAGTTCGTCGATGTTGGAACGAAATCAACAACATTCCATAAGCATTCCAGAGTTAGAAACAACAATAAAAATTAAACAGAAAGAGCTAGAAGATGCACATGTTTTGATACATGCTTATGAAGAGAAAGTAACGGAATACGATCGAATGATGATTGTATACGAAGAAAAGATTAAAAAAATGGAAGAAGAAAATGTTTTATTACACAAAGAAGTGTTGTCTCTCGGCAGTGAATTAAGCCGGCTAACTAGAATAAGCGAAGAAACCACTTTAACTAGAAATGATGATAATGACATGGTGCAAAAAAAACAAGCTGAAATGGTCAAAGTAAGCATATTGCATTTTGTTTGTTCGATACACCATTTATTTATTGTGATTCATTTATATGTGTTGGCTAGAATGAAATTGATAAGTGGGAAAATAAAACAATTAAACAACTATGCAATTTGGAAGAATTAAAATCGCAGAATGAATATATTCGAGCAAATAATACCGAACTGCAAACACGGTATTTATATTTACATAGTTAATTTTAAAAAATTCAAATGCTGATAATAAATGTTACCTTATTTTTTAGATTAGTCAAGAATTTGTCGGACATAAAAGTGTATCAAGAGAACGAGGAACAGCTTAATAAAACAATTGCTAAACTTAAATCAAAATTAAAACATATAGTTCGCCGTTCAAAACAAATGACTGAAGAAAATATTGACAACCACGTGGCTTCATTGACGGCTGAAATGAAAACCAAAGAAGATGCGTTTGACTTGAAAATTAATAAGTTGAACGAAGAAAAACATGCACTCCAAAAGGAAATGGTAGTTATGCAAAAGGATTTAGATAGTTTAAATTCCAAAGTAAGATGTTATGTTTTTTAAATAATACCTATTTGGAATCGTCGACGTTATCTGTTTTATTTATTCTTAATATATATGTATAGTTATCACAAAACGTTGCAAAAGAAACGACAGTGCAAAATGAACATAAGGCAACTTGTTTAAAAATGGTTTCGGATTTTGAGGCTAAATTAAGTTCTGTGCGTAAAGAAAAAGATAATGAAATCGAACAGTTACATACTAAGATAACGCAGTTACAACAACAGTTTAGCGAATCGCTGATTTCGTTTGAAAAACATGAAAATACAATTTTCACAAAAGAAACTGAGAAAGAGGTAAATTTAAACATTTAGTGAGGTATATATTATTTTATAGAAAGCCCGTGCAATAATGTTCGCATTGTTTATAGACGTGAATGATGCAAACTTAAATTAATTAATTATTGAAACAAATTTATATATATATATATTAATTCTTTTATTTTTACATTTAAAGTTAAAGTTTACAAAGGTATTTTTTTTTTAGTAATAAAATAATATTTTACAGTTTGAATCTGAACTAAAAACACGCGAACAACAAATCAAAGAATTAGAATTGAATTTTAAAATTTTAGACCGCAAACACAAAACTTGTGATGAAACTATCAGTGGACTTAAAGTAAAACAATTGTTACTATTTTTTTATTTCTTTTAAATAAATCATCCAGCCTTGACATCTGTTGTTATGTATTTTATTGCTACAGGAATATCATAAAGACGCTAGAGCCAATTATAAACAGGAAATAACCAAAATAAAAGAAGAAACTAGTTTGCAAATAAAAATTAAAGAAGACCAAGTAGAAGATTTGAACAACAAAATCAAATGTCTCAACAATACTATCGATTCGTTACAATTGAAGCTCGAAAAAGAAGTAGCTGAATCGAATAGACTGAGCAATGAATTAGCCAAAATTGTCACAGATTCAAAAAGGTGGACGAGTGAAAAATCGTGTCTAGAAAGAAGTGTAAGATATAAAAATTTAAAACATACTTTTCAAGTAATTAATATTCTTCAAAATGTAATTTACAGATTTTGGAAATGAGAATAAAACTCAATAACAGTGAATCAAATGTCAAGACTTTACAAGTATTAGTTACCGTGCAAAGCGACCAAATGGAAGGTCTTGAAGTAGCTGTTCAGTCCATGATGGCAAAAGAAAAACAGTTACTTGAAAACATAAAAAGCAAAACTGTAATTATGGCTATTTTCAAATTAACATGTTCAAGTTATTAAATAATAATAAAAGTAATGACTATAAAACAAAAATATTTCTTGTAGGATGAGATTGAAAAACTGAAAAACGATGTGCGTGAAGTAAAAAAACTGTCTAATGAAGAAAAGTCATTGCGCATTTTAGCTGAGAATAAAGCAAAGATGATGAATAGTGTTAATGACAATATGAAAGAAGAATTAAATCTACTTACCGATCAAAATGTAAAAATAAATGTAGAAATTGATTCGTTAAAAAAACAGGTATTTATCGTATGATTTATAGTAGTTTTTTTTTTTTTATAATATTTAAACGTTAACTGTTTGTGTCTATAAAAAAAAAAAAAAAACAATTAATTTAATAATTTGATAATTTATAGTTGGAAGAGTCGGATTCCAGTGTTAGAGAAAAGAGTACGTTGGTTTTTACATTACAAGATGAATTTGAAAAGGTCGTTAACGAGTTGGACAGGGTAAAATCCGATCTGTCTGCGACCATTAGTCAAAAGCAGTTATTAAAAGAAGCCAATATTCGGTTGACACAACGACTAGAAGAAACAGTAGAAGACACAAAAGTAAGTGAGAAAAATCACGCTCACAACTTTTATCGATTTCAAATTTTTCAAAATATATTTTAGGTAATGCAAAACATTATCGAAAAGTATAAAAATTCCTTGTTTGAACAAAAAACGTATTACGACAAGCGTTTAATCAAAGCCGACGTCACTATTTCACAGCAGACAAAACTTATAGATTATTTGCAAACCAAATTTAAAGAATCTACAACGAAAAAAAGGACACTCGTTGACTTGTTGTTTAGCGGCAAAAATAAAGTGAACGTTGAACAAAAGGTAAAATATATATATTTACCGTAAACGCAAAGCCACCGATAAGTATACTTGTGATTAAAATAAATAAATTTTTTTTTTTTTTTAAGGAAATTGAATTGTTATTGAATTCGGAGAGGTCCAAATCCAAGCACTTGGCGACTATATTAAATCAAGCGCAAGCCGAATTAGAAGTAGCCAAAGCTCAATGTCCGCTCCAGTCGCATTTGGTTCCGACCCGCCTTGACTTTGATTTCGATTCGCCCGTTTCTTCCAAGTCGACTCCAATTGCAAACCCTGTGTCTACGTCTCTTCATAAGTAAAAAAAATTGGTGTAAAAAAAAAAATAAATAACAAAAACTCTGATTAAATATAATACGATTTTTGTTAGGTTCGATGTAAAAATATGCAAGCGTGGAGGACTGCTGTGTTCGCATTGTCAATTGGAAGTGACGGTAGGACAACAGTTGAGCGACTGTCAAGAATGTAGAGTGTCGACGCACGTTACTTGCTCTCATGAGCTGTTGGCCGATTGCACTGGCGCACGTAAAAAAGATAACGACGGAAATCAAGCCGAAATCGAGTCGTGGATCACAGTGTGGGAGTGAGTAACGCCGCTTGTGGATGACGATAAAAAATCAATACCTATTCTATGTGTTTTAACGTTATTATTTTTTTAGTAATACTATACACGTTTGGGACCGTAAGTATGCGAAAATCGAAAACGGCGGCGTTCTGTGTATTCTCAACGATAAGCACGATTGCGAACAAGAGCCATTCTTTACACTGTCGTTGTCGCAATCGTCGGACATGGTGAAAGTTGTAGATGTCGCCCAATCGAACGATAAGACGTTCGACAAAGACACCGACGAAGACTACGAACAATTATTCAAAGTAGAAGTGTACAACTCGTACACTGGCCACATGACGATATTTTTATACATAATAGCGCCGAGCGTACAAGAAAAACAACAGTGGCTGAGTGTTATTCGACAACATTCGGCCAACAACGACGACCGTACCAATCGACCGCAACACGATCAATGTTACAAAGATATTATATTCACGTTCCAGAAAGATAAAATGATAAACGTCAACTGTGTTCATCAGATAACGCAAAGTGTATGTTATGTATACCTCCTAATATATAATTTTTGTTAGTACAAACTGTGTATGGTTATTACACGGTTTTCACTTTTTTTTGTTGATTTATTTATCATAGGTGCATTTGTTGGGTGCCGATGAAGGATTGTTTTCGGTTCACTTGAAAACCCAAAACGGAGAGGTAAAACGTGACATCGTCTCCATAGTTGGACCAAAACAAGTGATAAATTTTGTCTTCTTGCCAAAGATTCAAATAGTCTTGATGGTTGCCGGTGAGTTTGTGTTCTACTCGTTTATTGCGCTGTCTCATTATTTTAATGTCTACGCACGGTTGGTTCGAAGGGCCCACAAGAGAACTATTGAAATGCGATATGAGAAATGTTGTTCTGAACTCTGAACTCAGTGTTATGTCGAGGCCGAATATTGAAAGCGCTCGAGTAATCGACGAGATAGGCAATAGTCGAGAATCCGATAACGAATTGATCAATGAACTAAACGAAATCAATTGTCTTGCTGTGTCGCACTGTAACGAATTGGTTGTCGTCGGGTCGGAGCACAACATTACGTGAGTAATAAACTGCTTACAAAATTATATATTTTCAATTGCTTTTGTTGACAAATAGTGTATTGAAATGGCAAGACATTGGATTTTTCGTGACGAAAATAATTAAAACTAACGTACCGACCAAATGTATTTGTTTTACGCCCACTGGCATAATTTTCACAACGAACAGCTTCTATAAAATAGACACTGAAGATTTTAGCTGTAAAAGTGAGTATATGTTTTAGATACATATTTTTTTTAAAACTCAATTCGGGTACTAAAGTAATAAATTTATTTTTAGGATTTTATACAGATGCGATTGCCAAGGCGTACGATTACTGCCCAATATATGTATGCGAACTATCGAAAAACAAAGAGTATCTTCTGTGTTACGGCATTTACGGTATATTTGTCGATAGCAACGGCAAGAAAACACGAGGCGGAGAAATGAAATGGCCGTACAGTCCCAAGAGTTTCGGTATACAATAATAAAAGCTCAGCATTAACAAGACGTGTTTCGTTAATTTATATTGGTTTTAAATTTCGATTTTAGCATTCCAAAAGCCTTATTTAGTAATTTTATCTGAATCGGAAATTACCATAATTAAGATAACCCAATCGTGTTGTGTCGAAGAAGATAGGTGGAGTATTACTTCTACGAAACAGCCTAACGATCAAATCGTCCTCAACATAAACTGTCCAAAACTCCTAGGTATAAACAATTAAGTTACATTATTGTTTATAATGTTTAAACTTGGTAATATAATTATTTAATTACTTGTTTTCAGAAGGAAATAATTTTTATTTAAAAGACACAAATAATTATCAAGGTACATGTAGTGTATTTCAATTGAATCCATCAAAAATCCTTAAAAGTTCGACGACCGACAGTAGTTCTACATTAGATACACACTATACTGCGTTAGTAAATTGTTCTTTTATTAACTATAATAATATTAACCATTTTTTAATAATCTGAGTAACGATAGTTTTTGTTTTTCGACAGTGGCAGTTTTTTCGAGTTTAGTTTGTTGGATAACTTGGACAAAGAAGAACAGACAGATGACCAATAATGTTTTAACACTTAAATGTTAAATTTATATTTCTGTTAATTTTTATGTATTTTTTTATATTTTTTTATAATGTCAAGAAAAATTTAGCAAGGTTATTCACAAAGAATTGTTTTTATATTATGACTAAGTATTGCATGTTTCTTATTACGTTTTGTCAGTTTATTAATTAAAAAAATAAAAAATTTAAGTAATGTTGTTAAAATTAATAATAAGTCTTTAACAGAAATATTTTTTATTTATTAATTAATAAACAACTATATATTTGTTTGTTTCTGCCACAAAGGCTTTTTCAAATAATCTTAGGCATAATGTTTCACGTTTTGTGCAATTATTTTGATGTCAGTCGACAATCGTCAATCGATTGTAAAATTTGTTTCGCACATACTTTGTGTACTTGTCAATATTATCACCCGAGTGGCAAACCACGTTAATATGAGCAAATTGCATTTGAATTGTAAAATACTCTGTGGTTTTCAGTATGCCGGACGGTTTTTTCAAAAAAGAAATACATGGGAGTTTGAGCTGTTTAGGGTTGTCTGAAGTCTTAAATAGTGCGATTTTAAATATTCTCCAAGTATTGTAATGTAATTTTAATTTAGATTGTCACACGAAAAAGAAAACTCGAGAACCGTAAGACTATTATTAAGAGTAAGTACAGCTGCCGTCTTAGATTGCTGATAACGGGTAACTGATAACAATATGTATGCGGTGAGATAGATAAGAATATTGTTATCTATTACGTCGTGGCGGAAAAAATTGCGTGTGTCGTCATGGCAGAAACAATAAAAGCGTTATCGCGCGGTGACTTCATAACGTTGTTATCAGCGTTACACTTCCTCGTTAGCTGTCGTCCCGACGGTGATGATACATTCGATTGCGTTCAGCCGCGTTATACATAATAATATTATTACATTGTGTAGTGTGTACTCGGCGTCGACGCCCGACCGGTCTAGTTTCCATTTGATTTGGATCTGTCGGTTTGTTAGTCATCAGAGGAGCGAAAAAGAAAAATAACAAAGTGTCCGGTCATAAATTCTACTTACTACAAAAATAAACATGGACAGCCACGGCAAAAAAGTTGTTGTATGCGATAACGGCACCGGAGTAAGTAATATTTGTTTATTTATTGTACGAATAATATACGGGCTCAGCCCTTTTGGTACGATATTAACGGGTAAACAACAGGTGTACACTTGAATTAAAATATTATCCAGAAACAAAGATATAAGCATATAAAGAAAGTATTATATTATAACAAGCAAACAATTTACAAACGAAAAGATCACTAAATGCTGGTTAAATAAAAAAGGTGGGGTCTGTATTGGCGTTAGACATCATTCGTCTTGTAGGCTCATTTAACCCTTTCGTTCCTGGGATTTTTTTTTTCGAGGAAAAAAAATCAACAATTTTCTTTATGTTGATTGATATTGATAATCAATATAGCTGGGTCAATTTTTCATCATCAATCTATATTAGAACTTGTGTTTAAAGACATTTTTAATAGTAACGATGATAGCACGTTGTTAATATTTTATTCGATTTTTATCGTACGAGGATGTCAGTAACGAAAGGGTTAACAAGTAATTGGATATGAAAATTCATAGCAGTTTGAAATTTTAAATGAGGAAGTAAGCTTAAAATCCTTCTGATGAGGCTATCAGAAGGGTATAATGCCCAAAACTCTTAGGGCTTTACGACAATCATCTCGATATGGAGACCAGAGTGAAGTTACTGGAAAGCTTGAAACCAAGATCCATCACGAATCCATGATAAGAGGAGAACAAAATATAATAAATATCATGACGTTATAATATTCTTGTAAGGCCCGTTTCCATTCAACACTGTGGTTAGCCAACTCAATTTCCATAAAATATTGAAAAATTACTGTAATCATTAAGTCATTTTTACTGATTAGAGTTAATTAACTTGGGACAAGGGACTTTGTAGTGTGATTTTGCCAGTTCGTACTACACCATTCTAAATATGGGTCGAAACGTCAAATACGAACAAACGTTTGGAGTAAGCTCTATCGGCGGGGTAGTGTAGTCTCGTAGCAGTAATTAAACGCCTTACCTTGGATGACTCATTAGTCAAGTCCAAGGAGGCCGAGTGGGTAAGACAGTAGGTTGGCACTCACTGTCATCTGATCAACTCTCGGCTACGGGTGGTCTCTCTCTTTGGGCAGACAATTCTCTAAGAGAGAGAGAGAGAGACACTACCGTTCTCCCCATAACTTAAAAGCTTATTGGTCAGACCTATTGTTAAGCAACCCAAACTCCTCCTCGTGTTATGTTGTCAACAAACAAACTAAATCCATCGAGTAGAAGCAGACAATAACAGTTGTCGAAGAAAATATTCTACTTGCATGTTAAATAGTGTGTACTATTTGTTTGCAGTTTGTTAAATGTGGCTACGCTGGATCAAACTTTCCCGCTCATATATTTCCATCGATGGTTGGCCGACCGATAATCCGTGCACACAATAAAATCGGCGACATAGAAGTGAAAGTAAGTAGTAACACGCGACATTATATACTGTTACGATAGTTTTGATTACTGTCATTGTTTTTTTTCTTTATTAGGATTTAATGATAGGCGACGAAGCTAGTCAGCTACGATCCATGCTAGACGTTACGTATCCCATGGAAAACGGTATTGTTAGGTAAGGCAGTAGTTACACTCGTGTTAGTGTTTGTTGGTTAAGCACATAGTGTAACGGGCTTGATTTTTATTATTGAAAATTAATGGACTTGTTAATTTTTTTTTCAGGAATTGGGACGATATGTGTCATGTATGGGATTATACATTTGGACCAAAGAAAATGAACATCGACCCTAAAGAATGTAAAATTATGTTGACCGAACCGCCCATGAATCCAATCAAAAACCGAGAAAAAATGATCGAAGTACTATTTTAGGGGTTTATCAATTTATCACGTTGACACGTGTGCATTAGACAATTTTATTATGCATTTTTTTTCTCTCTATATAATAGGTGATGTTTGAAAAATATGAATTTGACGCCGTTTACGTAGCTGTACAAGCTATCCTAACGTTGTACGCTCAAGGCTTACTCAGCGGTGTGGTCGTCGATTCCGGCGATGGCGTCACGCACATATGTCCAGTTTACGAAGAATACGTTCTACCTCACTTAACGCGACGATTAGACATTGCCGGTCGCGATGTCACTAGATATTTAATAAAGGTATCTATTTTTTTCAATTTTAAAAGTGTGCAAAACTTGAGCTAACTAATTATGTGTGTGTGTTTTTCAGTTGTTACTGTTAAGAGGATACGCTTTCAATCATTCGGCAGATTTCGAAACCGTCAGAATGATGAAGGAGAAACTGTGCTACGTCGCATACAACATTGAGACTGAACAAAAATTAGCGTTGGAAACTACTGTTCTCGTACAATCGTACACGGTAAGACCAATTCCAACAGTTTAATTATTATTGTACTTACCAAATGTACTTTCCACCAGTTGCCCGACGGCCGTGTGATCAAAGTGGGCGGTGAAAGATTCGAAGCCGCCGAAGTGTTATTCCAACCGCACTTAATCAATGTCGAAGGACAAGGTCGGTAGTTTTGTTTTGGCGAGATGAATTAGGTAAATAACAATACAATAAACGTTACAGGAATCGCCGAACTGGTTTTCAACACGATTCAGACGGCCGACATCGATATGAGAACAGAACTGTATAAACACATTGTACTTTCGGGGGGTTCGACAATGTATCCGGGTCTGCCGTCCAGACTGGAACGGGAAATCAAACAGCTGTACGTGGAGCGTGTGCTGAAAAACGATACGACAACGTTATCGGTTAGTAAAATGAACGGGTTCATTGTTGTTGATTCAACAAAAGCAGCGCTCTTGTTAAGATTATTGGTTGTAAATGGCTTCTGTCTGTTTCTTTAGAAACTCAAGATTCGTATCGAGGACCCGCCGTTACGCAAGGACATGGTGTTCATCGGCGGTGCCGTCTTGGGAGAAGTCACAAAAGACAGAGAATCGTTTTGGCTGTCTCGCGAAGAATACCTGGACCGAGGTATATCTATTTTGGACAAACTGGGACCGAGAGCCGGATAACCGTGAATCAGTAGAATTAACATTTTTTGTTTTTTTTTATGAGCAATAATTTATTGGAAAAACAAAAGTTTATTATGTATAAACGTCATGATAATTATTACCTAAAATAAAAAAGTAACATGACTGCGCCGAAGAATTGCGTAAGATTTATATATATTCGTCGTAAAAATTGTTAAAATTAAAACAAAATAATTATTACTCAAAACTATTGTATGAAAATGTTTGCTTCCAAATTTAATAAACACCCAAGTGTGAGTTTCATGCATTTATCGGAAGCGTAAAATTGTGGTAATTCTTTTATATTATTATTATTGTTTTCAACAAGATATCGTATTTATATAATATATTTTTGTTATATTATTTTTACTTTTAATATTAATTTAGTTAATGTGAAACCATATTATATAAATTATATAGTAAGTTAATATAAACGAGTATAACATTTTTATTACTTGCACTAATTATTATTAATAGCGAATTTAGTTCAATAAGGTAAACTAATAAAGATACATTTTTTCTACTACAAAAATTATGTATGTTTTTGTTTTTTTTAAAACATAAACTTTAAACACAAATTTAAAAAAAGAAAAAAGTAGAACGAAACATAAAATCTTTGTGTACATATATTGTAAATTTATTTGCCGACACGCTGAATACGGTGGTAATCGTCTAAATCCTCTTCAAGTGGTTCCACAGCAGTGCTCGAATTGGGGGGGGGGGCGCAGGCGGACGGAGTCCGCTTTCATTTTTTCATAGATTTCAGCGTTCCCCTTCATTTAATTAAGCGAGGAACGCTAGAAACGCGACCCCCCCCCCCGACGGATATCTACTTTTAAACGGTGTATTTGGATTTTACTTCTTTTATTTCTAGCATTGTAATGGTTATTATTTCCCAGAAAACGGTACCAATAATATTAAAGCTACATACATATTACACATAGGTGTACATAGTTATGGCTACAGCAATCTTTTTTTTTTATCTTTGACATTTTTTTGCCAGTATTAAGGGCGGCTCCACGCAGACCATTTTTTCAGTCAAAACACATCATTGTCATTCCATCGCACAGGCCTAACCAGTGATCCGATAAGCAATCTAAAAACGGATTTGAATTCGTCATGGAGTTTACTCAGGATCGGTCGAGGTACTTTTTTCAATTTTAACCCTTTCCAAATTTGATTTTAAAATGTTGAAATTTTATAAAATGTTCAAACGTGTTTTATACATAGTAGGAATAAGATATCAAAAAAGTACGTCGACCGATCTCAAGTAAATTTCATGACGAACTCAAATCTGTTTTCATATTACTTATCCGGATCACTGGTTGAGCCTGTGCGATGGAACAAAAAATGTATGTCATATTAACTAAAATGGCTTTTACTCATAGACAAAATTACTTAAATTAAAAATAATACCTCGAAGCTTACACAAATTAACCGGTAAATTTATTGACACGGTCGAAATTTATTTAAACCGATTTTTTCTTAAATATTGCCTATACAAAACTCCTTAAAAATGGTCTGTATGGAGCCCCCTTAAGTGTACCATCGATATTTAATTGTTTGTATTTATTGATATACTTAGCTTTACAATAGTAGTGTACACTGTATCGCTGGAGGATAAAGCAAAATATTATGACAATGATAACTCCTCTTCCGGCTTCCCGCCCTTTCAATAGACCTTACCCCAAGACGGCACTCAATTTTTAGTAATAATCGTGTCAGTTTTACCAACCTTTACTTGTTACAACTGTTTGCAGTAGGCAGTGGCGTACTTACGGGGGGGGGGGGGGTTCAAACCCCTCCAAGAGCAAAAAAAAAATTGTCAATAAGTAATATATTTATTGTATAATTTTTACAATGTTACTATCTGAAGTCATTTAGAACTTGAAGTAAATGAATGTAATAAATAATAGTTTAACAATTTAATTATTAAGTGTCATATGACTAGCTATTTTATGGTAAACTGTTTAAGGCTATTTGGTACCGGCCAATTTTCAAGGAGTTTTGTACAGGTAATATATAAGAAAAAATTGGTGGCTTTAATAAATTTCGACCATGACATTATATTTAACGGGTAATTTGTATAAGCTCCAAGGGATTATATTTAATTTAAATAATTTTGCCTACGAGTAAAAGCCATTTTAGTTAATTTTTCGGTCAAAAACTACCCATTTAACTTCAATCGGTCCGATTATTGTGTTAAAGCGATAAGATTTCTTCGAATTTTATTCAAATTTTCCTAAAAGGATAAAGTTAAATGAAGAAACTGCGTACAAGTCTTTGTGGAATTTAATTAAAGAATACTATTTTTTTTTTTTTAAATAATTTTATATCCGTAAAGTAAGTATCACTCTTAAATAATAAAATAAGTGTCTAACTATTGTAATATTGTTATCTGCTATGGAACGGTGTTCTCTGTACTAAAACCAGCGTCCGTCCTCAATTTTTGTTCCAATGTCCTATCGCGAAACAAGGCACAACGTTACGTTCTCAAAAAATTTGTGAAATACACAAAATGTAATAATAAAAGTTTTACCTAAGAATTTGGAAAATAAATTATAGAGAAATGTATATAATACGATATGTGAGAAACGAAATCAACTATGTGATGAGATTTACACGGACAGTTCGGGCAGAGCGTCTTCGGGGTCTTCGTTGGACGTTTTGTCGGGCGGCCGGGTCCATTTGATGAGGGTTTCCGGAGACCGATACAGGAACACCAGTTTGGCGAACAGATCCTCTTCCAGGTCCAGCTCGCAGCTCTCCCGCACCAGGTAGATGTCCAAGCACAGCTGTAAGATCCGGTCCACGTAAGGCATATCGTCGAACATGATCTTGGCCGATATGCCGGTGAAGAAGCCGCGAACGAACGTGTGCACCACGATGACAAACGTCGTGTACAATCCGATAATTCTGCGAACAAATAAAATGTAAACGGTCAGCATCGAAGTGTTCGAGTACAGGCCGCCCCCTGTTTGGCGTACCCTTTGCCGCTTAGTATGTTCAAAGTCTCCGGGAACGCCTTGTCGTTGAACGTGTAGATGGTGAAGAAATCTCTGTTGCCGCCGTGCGGATTACAAGAACTCTTGGGCAGATCGTACAGGTATTTGGCGGTGTTCTCGTTGGGGCATTCTTCGTACAAGTCCCACCATTTCTCGTCGCTGTGGTTGAGCAAGTTGTACAGCACGCTCACGTTCATGTACGGTTCGGCTGCAAAATGTTTTGTTTGTAATTAAATGTATAAAAAAAAAAAATAGCCAGTACAGTGGGGCATAGTGGGGACAGAGATCACATGTCTACAGACTATATTATAACCGAAAGTGATAAAATCGCTTTTAAATAAACGCTTCGATGCGAATCTGTGGATAGTATGTTCAAACCAGTTATAGCGGTTTAGAAGATATCACAATAATGTACTTAAAATTTAATATTTAGTCTTGTGCAGGGTGGATACGATAAGGGTTGATCGTCTGTCTATAAAAATGTTCTGTCATAGTTACCCATACATCGTAAATAACAATATAATGAAAATGTTTTCATTACCTATTGACTGTTGATTCATTCACACAAAGCAGCCTAGAAACTGACTGCGGCCAAAGTGTAAACTTACCATATTTTTGGAGTTTTTCATAGAAAAAAAAAAATTTGACTACAGATTTTTGAGAAAATTGTATATGTTATAGTTCCATTTTAGATCTACTTTCGGTCTAATTTTCAGAACTAAATCTCAAAAACTTTGCTTGAAAAAGTGAAATAAAGAAAACATTTTATCACTTCTAGGGGAAAGGGTTTATGATATTTTTTTCTCTCACTATGACCATTACAATGTATTTTCATATAGTAACAAGACGCACCTTTGTTAGATGTATAAAGGAGCGATTGTTTTAATAGTAAGGAACTATTGATTAAATGTAAATTTATAATCGTATCGCATGTTTAATTTGATATTTGGAACAAAAAAAATGTTTTAAATGACGTTATCTCTAGGTTTAACGTAAGGTACTTGATTTTATCGTAAAATAATGACAATATTATGTAGTTTTCCTTCTTGGAAACATTATAGTAAAGATATTTTACAGTAATAAACAATATTAAATGTTGTTTTTTTGTTTGGTAAATTCCAAAAAAACAAACTCTATACGCTTACTCTTAAAATTAAAGTAACCAAAAATATTTAAAAAAGTAAAACATTCAAGAGTAATACCAAACCATGGTGTTTATATCGCAAATGAGTATAAATTACAATATCCACTTGAACAAAAGTTACTTTATTTGCCCCGTCTTTGTGGGACACCCTGTATTTGATTAAACAATTTTCGGACGGTAAAGGTTGTTGTTCAGAAAAGTAATTTATAAAGAAAAATGCCACTGGCCGCATGTTTGAGAAAGAAGTTTTTTTAATATTGGTTTTTGAAATCAAGTGAGCGGCCGTACACGCATGTAGGAAATTTTGATTTATAATTCTATGAATTACATATTATATATTATATCATGTTTATCAAACTGCAAAAAAAATTAGTGTATTAAAAATGTATAATAGGTTTTTAATAATAAAAAAAAAAACAATACAATTTACAGGTACTGAAATTATTTTATTGTTTGTAATTTTTAATTAATAGAAATCAGATAATAATTTTGTTTTTTTTATTAGACACCGAGGGGCGTAATATTTCAATAATTATTGACGAATGCGTACAAATATTTAAATTATTATTATTATTATTATTATTATGGTTATTGAACAATTCCGATTAATATGGTTTAACGTTGTTAGTTAAAATTAAGTGGCTTAGGTACAGAAGATAGCCGCAGGGTTTCCGCCTGATAAGTATCTTCGTCGTCGGAATTTGTATCATTGTCCTGGCGTAGGCTTTAATACCAGATGGTCTGTGAGGCACATTGCGATGTGTATAAATTCCGCCAAGTTTAAAGATGTAACACCTAAAAAGGGAAAATATATTTTTTTTTTTCAAACGATTACCAACAAATGACTTTAGTCAAAATAATGGAATTGACTTTACCATCGAATTTGTTTAAAACTTCCTTTGCTTGTCTGGTTTTTTCTGCCCTCTCTGGATGATGAATTTCCTGGACAGCAACTAAGGTTTTAAGCGCCTTCACATAGTCGGCATACTCATCAGGGGTAATTAGACCAGTGCCGCCAGGGTCCATTGTTCCGAATACGTGTAAGGATTGTTCGACCTCGGCTCGATCAAACCGCATCCTTGATTCCTAGACGAATGTCAATGTAAAAATGTACAACAATTATTATTTAGTAGGCCAGATAATATTTTTGGAATACATAACAGCGAAGAAATTTGAATTTAACAAGAACAATTTGTTATTGGGCTGGATATAGGACATTTTTTTTTTAAATATTTTAAATTAAAGTGATAAGATATTAGATATTAGAAATAAGAGATAAAAGACAAAAGATAAGTACTAAGATCTAAGAGAGAAACACGGATATATGTATAAATTTATATGATAAACTAGAATGCTAACTAGTGATAAGAATGAAAGTCGACGTCAACCATTTTTGTGGGATTTGTGTGTGTATAGAATAATGTATATATATACACCTGTGATTCTGTGTTATCAGCTTAACTTATAATTTGTATAAGCAGTGGTAGCAGTTATAAATATGTGATAAGGTTCTAAGGGCCCACAAAGATGGTGGAAAATGCTAACTACAATTTATCTCTGTTGGCGTGTACGCTTAGATAGTTGTTATAGTGGAGATAACGATAAGTGTTAAGAGATAACATATTATCCATGATTTAATAAACTGGTATTTTATAAATTAAAATTATTAATGATATTACATTTTCCTCGAACTTCGTATCCTGTACCGCGACTAGTATTGAAGCCATCAGCAATTCTCGAGCGGGTTCTGTGCGAGTTTTAATAACTATCACTCATTATACCTAATACAATATGAAAATAATTGTTCATTCTTACTTTTATCTATGAATTTCGCTTTCAAACTATCTCTCATGGTATTTATACCAAGCTGTTGGAACAATTCTTCGCCCTCCTCAAGACTAAAGGTGTTGATATTTTCACGAAAATGTGCTTTGTAAAAAGTAACAAACGTTTCTATTTGCTCTAGGGTCAGACCTTCACCCTAAAATGTATGAAAAAAGTATTAATACCAGCTTTGTGTAAGACTATGTTTAAAAAAAATGTAAATGTTTATTTACTCCCCTCTCTACCCCTCCCACCCAAGAATGATAATGGTCTACTCAAACAATACATCCCCAAAATCCTACATCGCTAGACTGATCAACATTTTTACAATTAAAAAAAAAAATCTGAAAGCTGAAATATAACGCTTCAAATGTATTTGCATAATAGTTTGCGGTTAAAATTGTTGTAATTTTTTTTAGAATTTTCAAGTGTCATATTATAGCTGTATGAATCAGCTAAGCCAGTAAGCTTAAAAAGCTGCAATGCTCGCTTTTTGGTAATATTATCCAAATCAGATTCCAACAAAATATCATTAAACACTTCATTTTATATATTATACAAAATGATGAATGAGTTTTGGCTTTTTGTTCAATAAAAACTTCACAATATAATTTTTTTTTTTTTACTTTGCTTGTGATAGCCTGACAAAACAAAATAATAGGCAATAAAGGAACATCGTTACTGTATTAACAAGTATACACTATAGTTGAAGCTCTAAATTACAACATAACATATTACAAATAATTTCAAAAGAAATAAAAAAAATAATAGGATATCTTCTGTTTCGATTACTAAGTATGACGACGTAACAGTCGTACCGTAATTTCTTGTCATTTGTAAATGGGGCTATATTGTTTTTCTCGGTTGGCTACACTGTCAATTCAAACAAAGTCCGTTATGAAGACGTGTCATTATTGGTCAGCTCGAATTTAAGCATATTCGAAGCATATGTGAAATCGAAGCAAAAAAATTTAAAAGCTAGTATTATTTACACTACATTAAACTTTTATAAGAAAAATTGTTTAGAATTTTAGTGTACAAAACTTCTAACGACCAAACTGCTGTGGTTTTAATTTTTCGACATCGGTTTTCTTATGATTAACATTAACTTGTGTACTGTTATTAATAATTTACAGTTGAAATCGAAACAATACCCCTAACCTAAAACATTTTATTCCTATGAGGTTTTATCATTGAAAATACGTCCGAAAAAACATGTCTGTCCAAAGTCACGCGGATTTGCTGGTGATTTCCAGTAATAGTCGTTCATTGCCAAATTTGAATTGGCAGATTTATTTACACATTTATACTGTATCATATTCATAATGTTAATTCATATAAATAATAAATATATAGTATCCATACTCTTACCCAGGCCGACGATAGGAAGAACACCGCGCAGACAATAAGGGCGCTCTTGAGATGCATAATTTAAAATCGATAATCAAAATTCAATCGAATACTTGTTACAATATAGCTGTACTGTGACTAAATTGGCACGACAGTAGTAAAGACGAGTGAACAGTAAGTCTTGAGTATTTTCTCCACGGTGTTGCGTTGACTAGTGTTAATATTTGCCAAACCCCGTTGTGTTCTTGGATTTGTTATTCGATTTCACCGTATCGCAAATTCGACTCTGTAAGACGTGTAGGCTTTTTTGCTAAACAAATACAAAACCGTGGTTTTTTTAGCACTGATGTTTGCACAAATGTGTGTTTTCCTTTTTTTCGCCATGGACGAGTACGTTTTGTTTTAACAATAATATGTGTTTTTCTCATGTTTTTACCCGAGTTGACAAAAATTAACGGATGTGGAGAAAATCATTTCTTATTTTGCCGCCGGCCTATTGCCTGTAGTGCTTACATGAAATATAGTTTTTACCGTACTCAGTTACAAAACAATTCACGAAAACCCGCCACTTCCCCGATCGCCCGATATGGCCCACTCTTCTGATTTTTATATTTATTTGGAAAACAATAATAATATTAGAAAGTCTACAATAATTTAATATTATCAACCGGGTGGCTTCGCGATGGGGGAGCAGATATTTATATTATTATCAACTATTCAGTCCAGTGTTTACCGATAAAAGTACAAATATCGATTTAAGAATTGTACCTAATGGCACGATTATATTGTGCTTAAAAAATCATTTTTAGTAATAAGGCGGATACGATTAGGGTTGATCGTCCCATATATCGTAATCAACAGTATAATTAAAATAGGTTTTCATTAGGTACCTATTGACTACGGTCAAAGTATAAAAATCCCCTTTTTTTTTTAAATGTTGCTCGATAAAAAAAGAACAAATTTCTATCTGTTCCAAGGGAAAGGGTTTATCGGTAGTACTATGTCTCAAGAACAGTCTATACGAATTTGAAACTTATCGGACTATTTTTAAAAAAGTTATGGAGCTCCGCGCCGTATAAATATGTAGATTTTGTTTGTTGTATTTCTCGATTTTGATAATGTCCCTTACAAGTAAGACTTTTTATCTATATAGTTGCTACACAAAGAAATCGGTTCAGTGGCTTAAAAGATATAGTAGATAAATCCACACAAAAAAAAAAAAGAATGAATTAAAACACATCATTGTACAAACAATACCTTCTCAGCTACGCATCAAAGCTTAAATATGACTATGATAAATTTGATAATACTTGAAGTTTGTTTGATGAAGATTTATGACATGAGTTATAATAATTCTGAAAGACTTGTGATCTCCTCCCCACCCTAATATATTCCGCCCTTACTATGCTAGGTCATTTATAAAATGTATATCTATATTTTATAAATTTGATTTTGATAATAACTAAGTGCTGACATATATCGGTATTGCATTGAATCGACTTTTAAATTAAGCATGTTTGTTTTGAAAAAAAGTGGAATTAACTAAATCGTTTTTTCGAACATTTTAACTAGAATTATTATAAAAATATTAGTTGAATACATGTAAAAACTGATTAGGCTAAAGCTCCTTCTTGCCCCTCTCCCCCTTCCCCAAATAATTTTATTGTAGGTAAGAACGTGATAAATGTAGAATATTGGGATATACAAATTTTACTTGTATGTTACATTTCTATTTTGGTACAATTTAGTAAAATTTAGGTAATACTATATAATAGTAATAATAATAATAAAAATATTTCATTTATGATAAATTTGTGAAAATTTTAAACTATTGTCTATGAAATGTTATAAAATGTATTTATCGAATGTTCAGATAAATCAAGTTTTTTCATTATACTGTAACGTGTCTGTTTGGCTAGTTGGCTAGGCTAGGCCGAAACGACAGTCGATAGGGTTAAATTAGTGGACCCGAGAGACCCTCAGGCCTAAGTTATATAAATAAAAACGGGGTACTAAGAAAAATAAATAAGATATTAACAAATACCCTGAAAGTAAAGGTTCCTAGATTGGTTTAAAATAATTATGATTTAAAGGAGGGACCACTGTACTCTTATTTTGACCTTTGTTTATTTTCCACGACCATCCATCCCTTATCTTGTGGTTTTTATTGAAAAACTTCAAAGGGAAATCTCTCGACGAAAACATCCAACCTAGCTTCTCGTCTTTCTCGAAAAGACTCGTAGGTCAACCCTCTATAAAATGACTAGTGGTGTTCTCAAGGTCTTAATAAGTTATTAATGGTTGTCATATTCGTATTCCACATAAAAACGTAATATGGAAAAAGCATGGGCTACATTGTATTGCTATTGTTTAAAATATTTTGAATTAAGTTGGCTAAGCTACGCATACTAGAAAACTCAAAACAACTATAAAAGAAAAATTCATTGTCTGTTTTTCTCACAATATATATGTGTAATTACGTTAATCTTGCAATCATTAGTTATTAAAACATGTGCCGTAGAGCAATAACATATACATATAAATAAGGTATGTTTATGAAATATCAAAAAAAAATATTACTTTCCATTCTTAATATTAATTTTATTTTTAAAAGTATATCCCTTAGATTTTATTATTATACAATGAGTATTCATTATTAATATAAGTTCTATCGCAAATAAATTTCAATATTGCTTCATACGTTAATAATATATTAAATTACTATTCGCTAAAATTACCACGATGGATAATTATTATTTATTTTTTTATATATATAAAAAAATAAATTTTATATAATAGAATATAACATCAACCTACTTAAAACGGGTATACCGTACAGCTAATTTGTTGAATATCATATTCATTTAAATTCAACGCGGGATAAATGAAGTAAAACTATGTAGTAAATAAGTTAAAACGTGTCACTAAAATTGCATAATAAATGCGATAAAGTAAAAATACAAATTCCATATTGTATAAATAAATCAAACATGAAAAAACTTCTGTTATCAAATGATAAATATATTCACTTCATAGATGGTGTAAAATTAACTAAAATTTCGTATAATATGACAATGTAATCAATGGTTAATTATATAAAATATAGTTATCAAGTCTTAAAATTCATATAGGACAATTTAATGATCATAATTGTAAAAATATAATTATCAATTGGTAAAAATGTATGCGAGATAGTAAAATAAAATATGAAAATAGGCAAACAGGTGTAGCAGGAAATAATTCTGCATAATAGTAGTTAAATATTCAACAGTAAATATATTGAAAATAATAAATAATCGGTTTTAAATCACCACGGCATAAATAATAACGCCATAAAGATTGATAAATATATCTAAAAATATAATACTCAATCGATAACTAACCGTTTCAACTCTCAATCACTAATAATTGACAAATGCAAATTATCAATAAACAAAATGAATATAAAATACACGGTGTAACAACCTTTTAAAGTGCCACTTTATTAACCAAAATAAATATTGGTGATCATCCGAGAAAACAATAATGCCAAATAGATAAAGTAAAAGTGGACAGAGTTATTCCGAACTGGCCAAAAAAAGAAATAACACATAGCAGTTAGTAGCCTAACAGATGTAGTGCACTATTTCTTTTTTCGAGAATTGATCGGCTCTAATAGAAACAAAATTAGCTACTTTTGCTCTAGACAATCGTTATAATCAATTCCGAATTCTAACTTGTCTTGTATAAATGTGGCGTCAATTTGGCAAACATGTGGCAACTGGCAAATAAAATGTGGCGTCTTAATCCTCTTCAAGTGGTTTAAAAGCTGTTATAGTGTGAATGAAAAAAATTATAATAAAGGCCATCATTATGTCAAATCTTCTCAACAAAACTGCCAATAAAGATTTGTTATGTATTTTAAGTTTCAATTTCTGCTATGTTGGTTTCTAGGGCGCTTAGAAAAGATGATCGCAAGATGTTAACGAGACGCACAAACGCTGTAGTAGGTAAGAAAAAAAAAATAGTAATTAAAAAGCAAAAAAAACTTCAAGTATATTTGATTTAGTACTGTAGTCAGTTATATACAGTGAACAAATACCTGATTATGCCTGATAATTAATGATGAATATAATATGAGATTGTTGACTTAAAAATAATATGTTGGTGAACAATTTTAAAAAAAAGTGGAGTGACGAGTGAATGGCAAGTAAAAAACAATAATTGATACGTTTGTTTTTCTAACAAAATTATTAGAAAAAAAAAAATAAAACAATAATAATAATAACTTAGCACACATTGATAAAACTATTGAACAACAATAAAAATAAAAATATTAACAATAGTGATGAATAAAAAAAAAAACAAAAGTAATTAAACCTAACCGAAACGAATGAGAAATACGATCAACGAGTGAATAATAAATATGATGATGTCCTATCGCGAAACAAGGCACAACGTTACGTGCCTTTTTTTAAGTGCTCAAAAAATTTGTGAAATACACAAAATGTAATAATAAAAGTTTTACCTAAGAATTTGGAAAATAAATTATAGAGAAATGTATATAATACGATATGTGAGAAACGAAATCAACTATGTGATGAGATTTACACGGACAGTTCGGGCAGAGCGTCTTCGGGGTCTTCGTTGGACGTTTTGTCGGGCGGCCGGGTCCATTTGATGAGGGTTTCCGGAGACCGATACAGGAACACCAGTTTGGCGAACAGATCCTCTTCCAGGTCCAGCTCGCAGCTCTCCCGCACCAGGTAGATGTCCAAGCACAGCTGTAAGATCCGGTCCACGTAAGGCATATCGTCGAACATGATCTTGGCCGATATGCCGGTGAAGAAGCCGCGAACGAACGTGTGCACCACGATGACAAACGTCGTGTACAATCCGATAATTCTGCAAACAAATAAAATGTAAATGGTCAGCATTGAAGTGTTCGAGTACAGGCCGCCCCCTGTTTGGCGTACCCTTTGCCGCTTAGTATGTTCAAAGTCTCCGGGAACGCCTTGTCGTTGAACGTGTAGATGGTGAAGAAATCTCTGTTGCCGCCGTGCGGATTACAAGAACTCTTGGGCAGATCGTACAGGTATTTGGCGGTGTTCTCGTTGGGGCATTCTTCGTACAAATCCCACCATTTCTCGTCGCTGTGGTTGAGCAAGTTGTACAGCACGCTCACGTTCATGTACGGTTCGGCTGCAAAATGTTTTGTTTGTAATTAAATGTATAAGAAAAGAAAGTGCAGTACAGTGGGGCATAGTGGGGACGGAGAGGTCACAGGTGTACAGACTATGTTATAACCGAAAGTGATAAAATCGCTTTTAAATAGACGCTTCGATGCGAATCTGTGGATGATAGTATGGATAGTATGACCAGCAAATAATGTACTTAAAATTTAATATATTTTAGTCTTGTGCAGGGTGGATTGATCGTCTGTCTATACAAATTCACTGTCATGGTTACACCCGTACATCGTGATTAACAATATAATGAAAATATTTTCATTACCTGTTGATTCACACACACACATAGCAACCTAGAAACTGACTGCGGCCAAAGTGTAAATTTACCCTATTTTTGGGGGTTTTTCCTTAATAAAAAAAATTTTTTACTACAGATTTTTGAGAAAATTGTACATGTTATAGTTTTTCGGTTTGTTAATGTTTATCGATAGATATAATGTATATAATGTATTGTAATTATAAAAAGAAGGAACCAAAACCGGGGGCGGGGAGGGGGGGGAGGGTCTACGTACTTTCGTTGCTTATCATCAGCTGGGACACGGCCGACGCACCGCCGAAACCGGTGACTTTGATGAACTTGGGAATGAGCCCGAACAACATTACCGGAGTGGTGTCGTTGCCTTTGGTCAGTAGAAGATTGGCCAGCTCTGCACAGGTGGTGCCGTTGATGGTGATTTCGCGGCTGTCCGATACCGTTTTGGGTTGCTCACCGTAAGAGTTCTTGCGGTCGATCACCCAGTGGGTTTTCACGGTGTACGTGGCGTCTGTAAGTTCAGTTAAACGTGTGTTTACATGTGACTAGAGGGAATGTTTTGAAAACAACAAAAAATAAACTTTTCACTACTATATAACCATTAGGGCAGAGGACTTCAGAGCGTTTTCATATATGCACAAGCGCGGCCGTATAATAAAAGGGCCAACCATAAAGAAATTTGTTTTAGGTCATGACAAAGCCAAATCTGTAATTTTATGTTGCGTATTTAGTGTCTGTTTTGCTTTTTAAGTTGTATACGATTTCAAGGGGGATTTTTTTTTGAACATTTTCTTTAAAAATAATTTATCAAAACAATAATCAGTAAAAAAAAAAAATGATAAAATATTGGACATTTTTTTTAGAGAGAAGAATATCAATATCAAATTATTAAAATAAAAAAAATCAATTATTCAATATACCTATCTTTAATAAATTATACATTAACTACAGTACAATCAAGTCAATAAACAGTAAAAGTTTCATTAAGGCCCCTGGATACCGACCATTTTTAAGGAGTTTTGTATAGGCAATATTTAAGAAAAAAAGTGGTTTTATTAAATTTCGACCGTGTTAATTAATTTACCGGTTACTTTATATGAGCTTTATGGTATTATTTTTAATATAAATAATTTTGTGTAAAGCCATTTTAGTTAATATAATAGTACATTTTTTGTCCATCGCACAGGCTGAACCAGTAATCCGATAAGTAATCTAAAAACAGATTTGAATTCGTCATGAAGTTTACTTGAGATCGGTCAGCGTACTTTTTTGATATCTTATTCCTACTATGTATAAAACACGTTTGAACATTTGATAAAATTTCAACATTTTAAAATCAAATTTGGAAAGGGTTAAAATAAAAAATTGAAAATTAGTGCTCTGACCGATCTCAAGTAAACTTCATGACAAATTCGTATCCGTTTTTAGATTGCTTATCGGATCAATGGTTCACCCTGTGCGATGGACGAAAAATGATTTGTGTTTTGGCTGAAAAAAACAGTCGGTATCCGGGGGCCTTAAGCCAAAGTTTTTATTAATTTATTGGTCGTGAACTCATAGTGTAGCGTATAATGAAATATATATAGTTTAATTTCGGCAGTAATTGTTTTTTTAAATGTTTCAATTAAAGTAATTAATTTGTTTAATTAAATCGCCAAAAAATGTTTAAAGCATATAAACGGTGCGTATTATAGGGTTTTTAAGTGCTTGCATATTTAGTGTTTTTTTTTTTTAGAGCTACAAGTCCTCTGCCCTAATAATCATATTATAATCTCTCTTACTGGTCGCGTTCAGGTGTGCAGTCATGCTCTCCAACTCGGGCGGACTGATCGACCAAGTATCCGCCGAATGAGTGGTGATGCGAAAGACGCCGACGTCTTCGTAATCATAGTTTGACAAAAAAGTCTGAGCCGAACGCGATTTCTTGTACACGTTGATCATTGCGTACCAGTCGGATTCGTCGAACCTACAAAAAAAAAAAATCCCCATCGACATTGAGAGGGCTTTTTAAGGAGTAAAGTATAGGCAATTTTTCACAAAATCTTAACTTAAAGGTTAAACTGTGATGCGTAATTATTGGTTCAACAATTAGGAATCTATTTTGGCAGTTAATTTATTTTTCGGACTATCGCAGCATCCTTGAAAGCGATTTAAAAATGTTTTTTCATCTCAACTCGTTTCAGCAGACTGAAAATGACTCGCTTAATTTTGGTTTTAGAGTAAAAGCACCCGTTACAAAATTAAAAGAAAACAATAGGCCAAGACGGTGCGTTTTTTTCATTATTCCAAGTATTGCGCTCAATACATAGTTTAGAAATAACGACTTTTTTTAACATTTTTGAATGACTGTAACTTTCCAAAAAAAATTTTTTTTTTTTTAAACGCACCGTCTTGCCCTCCGGAATATTGTTCTCTTTTAATTTTATAATGGGCGCTTTTACTCTAAGACCAAAATTAAGCGAGTTGTTTTCAGTCTGCTTAAACATGTTTTTACCACTGAAAATCACCGGTGCGACGCCCTCTTAAATCGGCTTAACAGTGTCTCAGTCTGGCCCACCCGGATACCCATTTTTTTTTTTTAATAATGTTATTTTAATCGTAATCTTTAAATATTGTTGACGTGATATAAATTATAATAAAAATTACCCCTATGACCTATAGTTTATACATTTTCTTTCTCTTGATTGAAAATCAAACAATACAAATATAAATAATTGGAAAAATTCATAAAAACGTTGGTCACGATTACCAAGGCGCAAACACAATGATAATTCGATAATAATTGGCCTTAGAAAAACAAGTTGTTAATCGACATTGCTTGGTTGGATCTAGCTTTTCAGCCCCAAAAAGATCTGTACATCGTGAATATAATATAGAAGAAATAATAGCTACAGACAATTATGTACCTGTTATAGAAAAACCAAAATGTGATGACTGCTTACCTTAAGTCTTTCAGAAATTGTATGAAATAACTTCGAAATATGATTTATTTAATACGCTTTATTTAGCTATGAAATATGTATTAATTCTTAAGTGTATACAAGTTTCCTACGAACGTGCGTTTTCAAAACTAAAAGTTTTAAAACAAAACTTAGTCCTTATATATATAGAAGACGATTTAAAAAAAATGAAATAATTCATCAATTACAGAGGTTATAATTTTAACTTGTTGAAACTTGAGTATATCAATTTCTTCATTGCTCCATATTATTTGTATTCTGTTAACTATTATATTATTCTGTTTAGTTTATATAATTATTATTATAAAAAGTCTATTTTATACAGTTAATAAAGTTGAAAAACAATTTCACCTAATAGTTAACATATTGTTGCGATTTGACTCAGAAAAAAAAACCTATTCATGATATTTGTTCATTGGAAACTAAATTAACTTGATCTCTATATGACGTATATTATGAACATTGATGTGATGTATACACCTCGTTCAGCATTTTAACCGAATTTATTAAATCAACACGACATGTGCTTAATACACATATGTATGGGTTCACTACAGAATGTAAAACAATGTAATCCATGTATTAATTCTAATTAATATTATTAAAATTTCTAGCAAAGAAAGAACATTTCCTTTTAGTTGGTAGTTATTGAATCTGACTTCTATATTTTGTTGTTTAGGGGCCCAACCATGAGCCAGACCTACACTGCGGCTTAACAAATTTTCACATGACGGCACAACAACAACGTATGAGCTCTAAACGCCTTCTGCTCACTTTTCAATCGTTCCTTCGATGTTCATCGTGTAAATCGGTTGGTTCGATCCGAGCGTTACTCTCAGATTGATGCTGTTTGGTAGATTAGGTTCGCCGACAGTGTTGCCAAGAGCGAACAACACCAGTGGAAACGATATGGCCGCTACCAACCCGATGAGGCATCCTCCTCCGAACAGGTATTTCTTGAACGGTTGAACTTTAACGCCCCGGGGATTCGGATAGTCATTTTCTACACGTCTCGAGCACTGCACAAACAAAAACATTTAAATAAATACACAGATAGTACGGTTTTATTTATTTTTCAATAAATCACCTTCAACTGAAAGATGTGCGCAAAAATATCTTCCATTTTCAGCCAATCGGGCAACGTCATCGAAGTCTCCGTCCACACCCAGTCCATGATTGTTCGCAGTTCAAACACAAACGGACACAACATGAATCTGGCAAAATATATAACATCACATTAGAAATTCAAAACTCAAGAAACATGTGCGGTGTAGACTGGAGGAAATCTTCTTACAGTTTGAATAAAATCATATTTATGTAATTGTAATTTTTGCATAACACGTTGCCCAGGATTCTGGTCGGATATCCACTTCTTATTTGATACGCAGACAACAGTAGATAAAAACATTTTACCATGTACCAAACTTGAGGTGGAATGACAGCGTTGAATTGTCTACACAAAACACATCATATCATAATATATAGGTATGATAAGATAATAATAAAGTGCACGTGCAAAATTAGAGACTATCGTTGGCAAACCTTTCTGTAACGCCCGGAAGTATGAAAAACATCCAAATGTGTGATCCGATTATCAGGACAAATTGAAATAGAATTTTCCCCAATATATATTTCCTCAAGTAAAGCAAACGGTCAACGGTGATCAAAGCAAACTGAAGGGCCAACATGATTAAGAACGGCACGGGAACCTTGTTCTCTTCGAAATACTGCGAAACACCGCCGTCGCTTTGAGACTGGTAAAAAAAAAGAAAAACAAAAGCTTATTAAGTTCTTTAGTAAATGGTTTAATAATAAAAAAAATTATTTAATAAATTGAACCACATACTCCGAAGGCGGAAAATCCAAACACCACAACGAATATATTGATAAAGTCACATAAAAACATGTACGTGTAGACATCGGCATTGACACGAGAGCTTGAATCGACAAGCTGTTCGAAAAAGTATATCAGCGGACTGCAATGCTTCTTGAGACTAGAAATAAATTACATAAAATAAATATTTCAATAAAATATCTACAACCTAATATATAATATCTCACGATAAGGGCATCGTTTCCAGCAGGTTATCGGTTTCGGCAGAGTTTGATTTGTCGAACGAATGTTCGTTGGACTTGAGTAACAAACGGTCGTCTTTGTAGTTTGAGCTCAGCAATTCGGGATCCATCACGACGGTGGTCTGCTCGGTCTTGGGTTCGTGGTCCAGCGACCCTTGATTGCCTTCCGAACTGATGGAACAACGCGTGTCTATCGTGTCGAACAACGACACCTGGTTAATGGGCGTTCCTTTGAACGACAACGAGCTCTTCCATAGACCCAACGACTTAAGCATGGTCCTAAGAGCGACATTAAAGCGGTTAGTTATTAGGGCTTACTAACGTTAACTAATGTTACATTAAGATCGCACTAACCGATGAAAGAACAATACCAAAAGCAGGAACAAGTCGTAGGTGGCATAATTTGGTTTTTTCTCGATACCGATTATTCTGGGCAAGAAGAACGGCATGTTGTCGGTGACCACTTGTTGGTTCCAAGGGATCATGTCGAATTGGAACATGCATTTGATAACAACAATCACCTGATACGAGACAATCGATAAAATTATTCAATTTATATAAGACAGTTTCTTCTTCGTTGTCCAAGAAGAGAGAAACTCACTTCCGTGTACGCGATAAGCGTCACCCAAAAGTTTTTAGTCGGTCGTGGAACGGTCAGTGTTCCCCACAGGAAAACCATCAGCGGCAACGGAAGACTCAGTATCGTGGCGGATTTGATCTGATGCAAGAATATCATGAAGTAACACACCAGGTCGGAATGAGATATAATGGAAAACCATAACGCCAAAAGCAGACGCATCAGCTGCGGTTGATTGGACGCGTTCAATTCCTGTTGTTCTTCCAGTTCTTCTAATTTTTCAGCACTAAACAACAAAATATTTTGTTTTCATACAGGTGTAATATTATTATCAATAAATAATTTGTGTGTGTGTGTGTACCTTAACGTCACGCTTTTGCCGACAAAAGGCATCGGTTGCCATATCATCGACGAGCCCGTCCTCAGACCGATTCCGAATCCTCTGTTTTTCTGGAAAATTTGTTTTCAATTAGGCAAAAAACTGTTTGTAACACAATAAAATAATGAAATACCTTTAATGTTTTCTTCTCCACGGCCAAAGTACGAATAACGTATCTGTAGTCTCGGGATATTTTGTTTAAATTTCTGGTCAACGTTATGGTCGAGCTGTTTATGAACGACATGAACACGTTGATGTTGACTTTGATTTTTTGTCCAAACGTTAGTTTCACATCCTTGTCTTGAATAATGTCTAATTGATTTTCAATACGGGTACAGTCGATTAAGTCGGAACTGATATTAAGAGAAAAAAATTTGTCGTTTAGTGAAAAACTTACCTTCTCCGTCGACGTCGTCATCTCTAGACAACACATACGATACAAACAATATTAATAATAATTTTTAAGAACATAAAAAAAGAGAATAATGTTAAGATGGGCTCATTCGGTTATTACCTTGTCGATTTACTGGATTCTCCGACCGTTGACTTGTCAAATTCCTTCTTTTTCTAAAAGGAAAAATCAAAATATTAATTAACACAAATAATAATTACTATACAATAGTAATGCACAGACTTTGTAATCAGATTCGTTTTCGTTGGTACTTTTGTCTTCTGAACTCTCCTCCAAAGAATCGTCACTCAGTTCGTTGTCTTTCTCGACAATTGAATCCAGCTCGTCGTCAAATTCATCAAACATATAATAATCGCCTGAACGGACGGCTATAATATATAACAAACAAGTGTAATCAGAAAATAATAGATAATATATGATACTAGAATAAGTGCAAAATACAAAATATTATTTATAATGAATAGAAAAAAAATATTGAGTTAATATTTTTACATTAAAGTTTATAAAATAAAATAAAAAATGTAGTTTTACTTAAAATCAAAAACGCGGCATGCTTAACACTAAGGTAAATACTACTAATCAAGATGTGAACGTTTAAACTATAACTATGTGAGTACATTATTATTGTAAACATAAAATTACAACTATTTACATACTATATCAGTGTGATAATAATTAGTAGGTATTTCAAATTTGTTATCTACTATATTTAAACTTCACTTTTTTTTTGGTGCTACAACGTTCCAACAATACTAAATAAAAAAAAATTTGAGGTCTATAAGTTAATCTTCTAAAAAAAATATTAATATGTTAACCATTAAAAGTTATGTTTTATAATGAATTGATTGATTCACATATTAGGTAAACAATAAAAAATAAAAGACAATAAGTATAGTTGTTATGAATATATAATTTGTGATGAAAAAATAAAAATAAAAAAACTGTGCATACAAAGCAAAAAAGTGAAAATTAAATTAAGAAGTTGTGTTGAGTAAAAATAATAATATAGTGTTAAAAAAATTTGTTACAAAGGAAAATATTATTACTTAATAAACAAGTGCTTACACAAATAAAATACAAATTAGTGTATGTATATTAAAAATGATGAGAAAATATGCACATTGGTGTGTAAATCTCTAAAACTGTGTACTATAATATTATTTTATTAGTGAAAAGAAAAACAATAAATAATATGTACATGCTTAAAAAATACCATTTAAATAGAACAAAACAATAATATTAAGTTTTAATCATAAAAATATTGTATTATGGTAAGTCCATCAATTTTTTACTTATAGTTTTGCAATATAATAAAACTATTTCAATGAAATACAATCCAGTCTTACACCGAGTGTTGTTAAACCAACACAGAATTATTCAATATTTATTTTTAAATAGTTTAGTTTGTTCCATGAAGATAAAACAAATTTTAAATATTAGTTGAAAGTATATTTTTGGCACTACCCCAATTTTGTAGTAAATTACATGGTAATTGTCGCTAACGAAACCAAACAATTTTCTCTGTTTAATATAATTTTATTAAACAAATAGTTAGTTTAACCGTGTTAACTATGTGCCAAATCCAACAAGATTAGTGTTTATCTACAATAGACAGTATTATTAGACGCAACAGTTAATCGATAATATATTAATAAGAGATTAATGTAACGTGTAACGTAAGACACCGTTGACAAACCAAAACCGGATCAGGTACGGTCTAATAGATGTATAGAGGTGAACTAAAATGGTTAAACAAACACAAAACGTTTCAAATTTCATTAGTTTACAAATTTCTGCAATAATTAACAAAGTTCGTGACTCATTGTTGTTACGAAGAAAAATATATATAATATGTTTTTTATTTTTACTCGATTAAATGAAATGTAAACTAGTAGTTTCGATACTCTCAAACCAAACTTGCTAAAAACAACAAACTCTAATAAAGATGGTTTACATTCGACAATATGGTTAGTGCTAATATACTTGACAATAAAGCTCGACTGTTTTTTTTTTTTATTAAACTATAGTTACAAACCCTGCAACGCAGTTGTATATGACATCGGTTATCGCTTTGATTCTGCCGGCATCGATGTCGTTGCCACCAATTTAAGCGTTTTGGCTAAAACCAATTTAATTTATTTCTAAATAAATATTCTGCCAATACACAAACACACAGTAAGCTGAAACTTGATTAGCAAAACTTAAATCAATCATTTCAACACAAAAACATTTTCCTAGTCCTAAAACACGGATTACTTATAGAAGTTATAAAATATTTCAGTTACAGGCAAGCGAAGGCTTTGTGCTATAATAATATGATAAGTGTAGTTCAGATTAAAAAAAAAAAAACAAATCAAATTAAATTTAAAAAACAACGTAATAACAAGAAAATTGTCAAATTGAGAATACTTTTTTTTTAAGAAATTATCTTATTGGGTACTTTCCAAAATTCCAAAGATTTACCAAACGAAGACAATTTTTGTTCGTTAATGTCCAGTTTTAAATAATTATTCTCCGACAAGTTTGAATTGTTAACGCTTATAAATAAAAAAACAATATCGGTTAATTATTAGATGAGCGATTTTGAAAAAAAAAACTGAATTTCTGAAACGTTTACGTAAGTAAATTATTTGAATACTTCTTTGGAGATTTAATTTTTTTACATGCATGCTTTACACATCTGAAATGTACAAACAAATTATTTTTTAATTTGTTATTCAAGTTGGGTTCAAAGCCAGATACGGCTCTCTCTCTATACAATATACACATTGAACGTTATTATGTTAAATATCCGTACTTTGGATCTGGAAGGGCCGGTTTCAATTATTTGGCAAAATTGAGTGATCCAGATAAATTTTAATTTGAAAAATGTGCACTTCCAAGACAAGAATCGATAAAGACATCGACAGAGTTATCGTACAATTTCATACCGAGCTTTGTAGAAAACTAAAACATTTAATCTCATTTACAAACAGCGATTTCGATCGTTCGGGTCCCGCCAAGGTACGGATACGCTATTGTTCATATTTATATATATATATAAATAAATATATTACATAAAAAATATTGTTTGTAGGAAAAAACAATACGGCCATATCTGTACAGCGGTATATGCAAGCGGTAAGACAAGTATATAGTGTATAAGTTACAACACAAGACGATGGGGTACACACAAGTATGGTGGGAGTAGGTGGCCGAGGCGGATCGCTTGCGGGGGTACCAGGTGGACGGTACGCCCAGCGAAGACTGACGACGGTGTTGCAGCACTGTGGGCGGTGGCGAGAACACGTTGGAGTATATGGCGCTTTCGTCGAACGACAGTGGCCGCCTGTTGTTGGTGGAACTGCTAAACGACATCCGCTGCGGGTCCAGGTACGCTTCCAGCGATGCGGTCAGCACGGTCGACGTAGGCGTGGGCGGTTGCAGGTACGACAGGGTGGGGGGCTCGTCTTCCAGAGGCGTGTGGAAGCTCTGCAGGATGGAGCTGCCCGATAGGTTGCGGGCTAGCGGGGCATACGCCGGTGTTGCGGCTGTACATTGTCAACATAATATCACACATACAAGGTGTCTGTCTCACAATAGGTCTCTCCGACAAACACATCGATTACTTTTGTGAGTTTATCTTATTCGATTAGTCAAAAAGTGACACACACACACACACACACACACCTTTTCTCAACAAATACAACGATATGATACCTATTATAAATCGGTTAAGAGTACAAAATAAATTATTTTTAATTCCCAATGGAAGGACAATCTGTATTATGAACGATGCTAACGTCAACGACTTATCAAAACTGTACGAACAAAAAGACATCAATCGACGGACCACGGCTTAACAGTAACCATCAGAGTTGATTGTTTTGGAAATATTTCATAAAAATTAAATTGTATTATTTTCTCTAAAATGTTGGATATTGATTTAGCTAAACACAAGAAGCGTTAAGACATTAACGTAAATTAATTAACCGTCATTATAAAATATTACGGTTGGTTTTATACTTTTATTTCCGTATCGTGTAAGGAAATTATTGTGTTTAATGCATATGCATACAATTTTATATCAGAAGACAACACAATAAAATTTGTTTTTTCATCTAATAAACAATCAACGACTCACCTCTTTCGTGAGACTCGGGTTCCTTGGATCCACGTCCTTGGATTTTCTTCTGCGTAGCTTTGATCCGATCCATTTTGGATTTGATTTTTTCTAAGACTTTTCTTTCGGATTCGTGTTGTTCTTGAATTCGTTTTTGTGCGAGTTCTTGAATTAATTCAGCACCTCTAAAAAAAACCGTTGGGAAATGTTAGGTATTTGTTTTTTCAAATGAAAATTTGTCTTGCTTTAAAAACATAACGAAACCGTTTAGTGTAAACGATACCTAGATGCCAGTATGGCCATTGCTTTTGTTTCATCGACTATTCTGAAAAAATAGTGACTATTGAACAGGCGTCTTTGAAATATCAAAAATCCAAAACAAAGAATGTCCCACGCTAATCCGACGTGCTCGACTGGTATTTCACAATCATCGTTATCTAAAGAGAAAAAAAATTGAATCGATGAGTCCTATTATTTGTTATAATTAAAACAGGTGAACACAACAAATACCCGACGGTGCCATAATAGGTTGGTGTGTGGAAAATTTTTGAATGCATGATATTCCAAAAAGTTGGATCATCCAGCACGCATTCATTTTCATGGAATTCATATAGATACAACCGGGTATCTGTAATATCGCTTTCAACGAGATAACAGTGATGTTATACAAAATCAGCTTGTTCCACCTAAACAAACACAAAATTAAACACACGTGTTATGTATACGATGCTAACACAACATATACTTACCATTTAAGAATGACATTTACAGGTCTGAGATAATAATCGTTGCCTTGCCATAAAAATATGAACGAGCCAATGAGATATCCAAGTGAAAACAAGTTCACTCTGTTGGTGCCGGCCAAAAATACGATGGCCAACGTGAACCAAATGAATCCAATTAGAACGATGCGTTTTACTATATCAAGCCACGATCTGAAAATTGTAAGAGTAACATAATAGTGTTAGTATACACTGTTTGCTTACTGATTTTGGGAGCACAACATAGGTTTATGCAATATCTTAGTCTTACCTTATGTGCGAAACGAAATCCGGCACTGGATTCACAAAGCTTGGTTTTTCAGCTTCTTCGATTATCGAACGATTAGTGCCACCCGGATATTCACTACCTATGTTTCTTCTTTCAATTTTGAATACATTCGATTGACAGGAGACAAACAACAATACAAAGAAATCGCCTGAAAAAGTACATATTTACAGTTACAAATCATAACATACATCCTCCGTAGAAGTAAATTCGGTTTAATACTACTTATTATTTTCTAGTATAAATTACAAAAACGATTTGAAATTTGTCGGTCAAACAAATAAATTGCAATACAAACTTACAAAGTAATTTATATGAATCTGGTGGCGAATCGGGATCCGGCAAAAACATCCAATCCCTGAGATTTTTCAAAATATCCGTATCCCACGGCAAGCCTGAAATAAAGGTAACAAAAAAAAAATTAATTGAGAAAATAATTACCATCTAATCAAATACTAATAACTATAGACCTGATTTTTATGTTTATGCAGAATAATTTGACTGTGCATTTTACAAAAAATGTAATTATAAAAGTTTAGTTTGCATAAAAACGTAGAAATGATTTAATTAAATTTATACTGCATTAAAATATGTCGTTTAAAACGTTATTGGGACATAATAAAAGTTCTATCTCTACTAATAGTACTTCAAAGAGCAATTTTTTTTAGGTATTTTAACATTACAAACAATCCGGACTTAAAAAATAATTATAATTATCAAAAAATGAAAACATTAGTTAATATAATTAAACAACATATTATTATGCCTATGAACAAATAGGCAATTTTTCACTAAACTTGTAAGACTGTTTTCCAAAACTAATATTCACTTACTGATGCACAGATCTGGAGGTAATCCGATAACGATAGCGTACTGGAACGGTATAGTCACCACTATGAAGAACATGAATATTATCCACAATTTGGCCAGAGTTCCTCTAGAGAGCATAACGAAAATCAATAGCCAAAATGTATAAAGCACCGCGTACAAGTCCATTCTGGTGCCGACGAGTATAGCAACGGAAATCAATGTTATCTATACGTAAAAAATTTATATTTAGCAAAAATATATTAATTCAATTCACAATAAATACGCAATAATACTATTGTACGACTGAAAATACAAATTCTCACCTCGACTCCGAAACGATAAAATCCATAATTCAGTAGATACTTCAGACAATGAGGAATATCCAAGTCGACTTCTTTGTACGTGACACGTGGGAACATTATTTCCGGATCGGCCAGTGGTTTGCCTTTTAAGTGTCTCTTGTATTTCTGTCGAGTTATCACGACCCGATGCAGTGTGATGACAAAAACTATGCCTGCGCGACACATCAAACAATATACGGTTAATTAAAAAAAAAAAATTGTTATCAAAAGTACAATTATAGCGATAAATATACATACATATATAGCCTTTTAGTAGATTGAGCAACGAGATACTAGCAGTGGCTTTCTTAAATCCGACCCAGTTAGCAGTGTTGTACGATCTCGATTCTTTCGGATCGTTCGGGTCCTAAGAAATAATGATGATGTTTGGTTATTAACAAATTATTATTTTTTATCTTCTATAAGCTGTTTTATTTGTACATAATATATTTACACACCGGACATGTCACGTTCCATGTGTCTTCTCGTATGTATTCTATCTGGTATATCATTTTGGCCAATAACAACACCGATATGAACACGGATATGATGTAAACAATAATTAATTGTAAACGATTATTGAACACCAACGAGATGGTGACGAGAACAACCAAAGCAAAATGAACTACACACACCTAAATGAAAATATTAAAACAAATTACAAAAATCATACCGTGTGGTTCATATCAAAGTAGGTTTAACCTATAAATAAACAATACAAATATTATAGCTACAATGTATGATAAAAAAAAAATACCTCATAAACTGCCAAAAACATGACACAAAATAAAATAATTTTTATCATGTGCAATTCTGCATAGAGCCAAGTTAACTCAATGATTTGAGAGAGAAACTTCTTTAGTATTTTAAAGAATGAGCTGAAGTTGAACTTGGGTAAATCTGAAACAATAAATCGCGTTATTAATTTTACAAGCAAATGTTGATAAAAAAAAAAATAATCTAATATAGTATACTTTTAAACACTTTAAACGATTGTCTTTCAGAAATGAAGCTTTGTCGTGCCAGACGACGTTTTCTATACTCGTTGTCCAATGCCGATTCACTAGAATCGGATACTTCTTTTTCACTGTCCGAACCAAGGAAATCGTTGTCGGCGTTTCTAAAGCTTGTGCCCCTATGGAAAATAACCAATTTTAATTGGGTGTAATTAAAATTTAATTCTTTCCTACTTGTCCTAACTATAACCACTGCTTATAATACCTGCTTTTGATATCAGAAATGGCTAAAAAGTCTTTGTGGAAGTAGTACAGTTGAACTACAGTTATAATAACAAAAAACGTAGGCGTCAAGAGTCGTATAAACAACTCTCCAGTTTCAAATTTTTCCAAGCCAATGTCTAATTGACTAAAAAAAAAAACAATAACAATAATAATTATAAAAATACACAAAACAAAAGGGAACGTAATATATTTGATCTATAAACACCACGGCGACTTACAGGGTTGGTGGAATTTTCAAATATTTTTCCCAATAATATGGGAAATTATCAAACTGGTAAGTGTACGTCATGACTAGAATGAGCATCGAGTATATAATGACTGTGAACCAAAAGCCATACATGATTTTACGCCATAACACCCAAGACAGCTAAAGAAAAACACAGAACAGAGTTAACGCATTGTTACGATTAATAACAAAAACAACTTTTAATATTTGAATAATTGCCAACTAAACAATTTAAAACCATTACTTGAAATATCAGTAAAAACACCAATGCCAGTGCCATGTAGATAATTCTAAATATCGTCATTCGTTCTCCGGTTATGCCGATCCCAAACAACACAAACGCCACGACCCATATCCAAAACTTTGTCAAAATTATTTTCGCCTTTTCTCCGATTCGTTGCATTAGCTGACTTCCTTTTGTCGTCGAATCACCTCCCATGGCTTTGAAAATAAATAAAAACACTCATTCACAAATTCACATTATGCGTGGAATTTCGACAATTCAATATCTATCAAACGGGTACTGATTGTACAGTGGAACTGTTAAAATATGCTTTATCAATAATAACTACCAGTTGCAGTACCGACTGTGACTTGCAAGGGAGCGATCATGTTCGCTACGGCTGAATGACTTCTGGCTTCTCGTCGTTCCTGCATGTACTGTCGCATGGTTATCCAAAACATTGCAGTGTATAGAGTCTAACATAGAAAAAAAAGAAGGGAAATATTAGTTAAAAAAAACAACAATATAGACGTTTTCACAAAGACCCCGTCTTACTTTGATCAATAACGGTTTGATTGGAAAATGAAGAACCTTAGTGAAACCGATTTGTTCCAGATTCCAACCTTGAATAGTCTGAGGAAGTTCCGAGTCGTTTAAGTTCATACCGTACAAATATTGAGATAAGAGTAAAAATTCCGCATAAAAAACCAATAGCGGCGATGACCGCAACATTGTTTTCCTCTGTTCGGGAACCATCCATGAAATACTTGCCCACAAAAGCAGTACGAATGTCAACCAACTGTGATAAGTTATACTCCAAGCCTACAAAAAAAAAAAAAAAACATATCAATATTGGTCGGATTTAATTAAATATATGGTTTAATATGGTTTATGTATTTAATATGGTTTTCATAGTAGTAACGATACGACTTACCATCATAACAATATTAGTGCCGATATAAGATGTACGGGTAACAAACTGAGACACCGTACTCAGAACATCCATTAAATAATAGAAAATGTTTGACTTGTAATCATCTGAAACGTGAAAAAAAAAAATAATACTGTTAGATTAGATTTCAACAATAATATTCAAAACAATTATGATCATCAGCTATGTACCGTAATTACTACTATCGTCAACGTGATCATCCCTCTTGGCAGCGGGCTCTCGGTTCTCGTTTTCAATAACGCTACACGACGGAGTCTCACTTGGAGTCGGTCCTGTAGTGTACAGCGGAGCTTGACTGCGGATTAGCTAATTTGTAAACAAATAAAAATTAAAACGCTGGAAGAGTTGAAAATTTAAATCAATACCAATAATATTTACATATCAGGGCAAAATTGGATGTTAAAATGATGTACAGCTTTAGAACTACACGGACAATTATTATTAACCGATAAAATTATTTGTACGTTACATTCACTGATAGTGAAGCGTATATATATATCGTTATCGTGAAAACTAAAATGTAATTTAACTCTTAAACAATTTTGTCGAACCCTTTTTTAGTCGGTACTATGTCAATGGTACAATAGTTCACAGTAAAGAGAGAGAATAATTTTGCGGCTTCAAACCGATAAAAGTTGGGGAACCAACCAAAAGTCAGTACGATGAAAACATTTGAAATTCATTTGACTGCAAATTAGAAGTAAAATAAAAAGTATACGAAATTGAAATTGTTTCGGAGCTGAACTGCACCACGTTGTGATTAGTCGATTAATTTATTAAATGTACAAATTTATTGTAATTACACACTGAGCCGATGCATAACATAACTTTCCCTTTAACACCACAAACAATTTTTAGTTCTAATGAGATGATCACCAGGCGTATCTACAATAGTTTTAAAATAGGATCTATTATTAAATATTATAAGCACAAATTTAATCAAGCACCAATGCCACTATTGCTCAAAACAAAAAACCAAATAGTGGTCCCCGTGGTATTTGGTTGACGACAAATGTTAGAAAACCGTTTAAACTGAAATAAAAAAATTGCAGCCCAGCAAAAGTGAATTTTTGCCAACATTTTACAAGCCATTAAAGCTTTATCACAATGTACAACCTGGAGAGTTTCGAGCACGAGAGATAGAAAAGTTATAATGATTATTGATCACAGCCATCAGAGTAAACCGGAAAACTAAATAATTATACAGTAGAATTTGTACTTAGCAAATTTAAAAAAAAAAAACTGAGATATATAGGTGTACGGTAAACTTATACGTACTCATGTGTGTATCTGTGCACTATAATTGGAAATCATAAAAGTAGATTCACACAGTGAAAGCAGATAGAACAATGAAAGACATTTTTGGCATCGATCAACCGATTCTGTCAGTACATTGCGATAAATATAATAGTGTTAAACGGAAGAGAAATCGGTTCTGTATTAGAAAAAATGCATGCCAAGTATCATAAATCCAAAATCAAAACCCTTTACCATTTTTTATCTATTCCGTGGCCTTTATTGTGTGCAAACGTATCGTCGTTACTTCCTAAAATCTGCATCTCAGCGAACAGTCAGACAATTGTATTGTAAAGGAAATTTGAACGAAGCAAAAAATAATACAAATATTTTTGCATCGTAGTAAGAAATAAATAAATCATCAAGAATTGATTGAAAAAAAAAAAAATAATAATCGTTCGTCTTACATTTCAAGTTTCAAATGCATCATATTGTACTAAACGTGATGATGTAACCAATTTTTATTTTTCCTACACATTCTTACGGCCGGGTGATGTTATAATTTGTGTGTGTGTGTGTGTGTCTAAACAAGCAGAATAAATGAACAATAACGCAGTTAGACAAACCCATTGTATTAGTCATCTCTTACTTGTACTATATTACCAAATTTCTTTCCCAAACGCTACATATTTCTTTACCTCTTTTAGCTGTACATCCTGTCAATTGTATTCGCATTATAACACATAAATATCAAATATAAATATGAATATGATATATATATATATATACATACAGGTGTGTTTTCCGAAGGTTGGTTACTTAATTCGGCGTACACAGAAGAAGCGTGCATCTATAATACAAATGTAAGTGCAAAAAACACAAAGTAAATTGAAAAATTAAAAAAAAAATCCACAAACAAAATTTGTACAATAATACATTTTATAAAAAAAATAAAATAAACACAAAATAATGAAAAAGCAACATTCCTGATGTGTATAATATTCGATACCGTTGAATTCCTAAACATTCTCCTATATATTTTGTGAGAGTAACAGTCCTATTTGGTAGGTGACTAAAAAGCAAGTGTTGTCCTCTATCTATCGGTGAATGTACTTAATACTTTTAATTTATCTCAAAACGTCAACAGTTGGTATACAATATATATATACATAAGATTGATTCATAGAAATGAAGCTTGCAGAGTATATTATTGTTTAATTATAGCGGTCGCTAGTGAATTGGAAAACACACAAAACGGTGATTACAAAATATGTGTGTATATAATAATAATAATAATCAACAAAAGCTATAGAAATGGAAAATTTAAGTGCATTTTATCACAAAAAAAAAAAAACACACTCGGCATTGTGTTTAAAATTTTCAAAACATGATCAACATACGCAAACTTTGCGGGTAGCCGCACGCCATCGATTGGTTTTGTTTCGAAAGAAATATTTACTAGGACCTTTCTGGGACAAACGAACCGTTACTTGTCGAGTCATCCCTAACGACTCCTTCAGTTCAATATCCTGTAATGTTTTTTATTAACTGTTCATTATCTGACAAATTTTCCATTTTTCATTTCAGTTCAGTATTCAGGAAGAAAATACAGTTAATAAATTTGCTCTAATTTATTTGTTACCCGCACATACATATATATATATGTACGTAGAGAAGACAATATTCAGCAAATGCAATTCCATTAAAACACAATTCCAAACAAACTAACATAAATGTTCTAATAAAAATATACGAGGTACTATGCTACGCAGCAGTATATCAAGACTTGTTATCGAGGTAAAAAATAATAATCTTCAAATTAAGCAAAAAATACATTGTAAATACTATTACAACAGGGCATGTATGGTAATGATAGGGAGAAGGGATTTCAACACACAGCCAACAACCATAGCATACCTTTAAGAAATCCCAAACGGTTGCTAAGGGTCTCATCGAAACGCACTACAGACCCGAAGTTCTGGACTGTAAACTAATTAGATAATAACGCATAGTTGATATTTGTAGGATATTTTATAACAAATAGAGAGATATTAAATAAATATACATATATAAATATCAATATTAAACTTTGACTGTTGTTTACAAATACATGGTAATTATTTATAGGAGTAATATTATGATATATCAGAAAATTAAAAATTACAGAGTATATTTTATAATTGTAAGTAGTAAATTGGCGAAAACAAAAGATAAACACGCTGCTTGTAAAAGTATAAACACCCTCGAGAAAATCTAATCTAATTATTTTTATGAACCTAGAGCAACACCAATATTATATTAGTTCATCGTATAAAATTAAATTAGAACATATTATCGTACATAATGTTGTAAGTTATTTTTATGTTTGTACCGTGTGTTAGATGATAATGGTAAATTGGAAAATAACTTACCGGATTGTTCAAAATAAGAAGAGATTCAAACCAAAGTAGATAATGCATGATAACTAAAATTAATGGAAGTGCGTACAAAGGCCATTCGCAGACGACAAATTTCACGGTCACAATGTCGGTGCATATAGTTTGTCGAATTTGAATTAGACCATAATATCTATATGTGTGAAAAAAAAACGCAACAAATATTAAAATTTCTGGCTCGTGTTGACGCGCCTTGGTACACGTTTAGCAAATCATTAATATATTTGCGCGGCCAAGGCTCGACCAATTCACACGTACCTTGCATAAGCCGAGTCTGGAGGTAAAAGTATTTGTGCCCACTGCATTTGGTAGACAAAAAGAACGGCCACGTGAACGCAAGCAACCGAGCATATAAAACGAAATAAATATGCGAATCCACGACTTATGGGATGATAACACGACCACCAAGTCATTATGCCCAAAAATGTAATGTAATACACCGCGCTAGTTATTGACGGCACAGAGATTCCGGCTAAGCAAATCATGACTAGACATAAATATTTTCCTGCAACACCAAAAAAAATAGTTTCATTTCATCATTCGATTCTCGTTGACGTTTGTCTAAAGGCAACGGCATTTATTACGGGACTCGCCCGAGGTTCTACTGTAATTTACCAATGGAAATCGTAAGAGCTATGGAACTCTTTTGTTGGTGTGACACTCTGGAATCGGCGTTTGCGACTCCGGTGAATTCGTCCGACGTTTCATCTTGTGTGTCGTTGATTTTCAACAAAGCCCTTTGAATTATAGTGGAAGCACATATCATTGTTAATTCGGGTATGTAGAATTCGAATATTTGAAACAAATCCAATTTCGATAGCTCGATGAATCCAATGTATCGAAACAAACTTTCCACGCGACTGCCTGCGACACAGAAACAAGGTAGCATTGAAAAACAAAAAAAAACCAAAACGATTACAAAAAAGTACCACAGTGAAATTATGCACAACACTTACAAGCTGGCTGTAGTACTTGTCCGTAAGGTTGCATCGTAAGAAGGACAATTTGGAATACAAGCTGTACCAACGCCATTAGCCAGCTGATTGTAGTAACGAGTTTTAAAAAAAAACCAGGACTTCCTGTAACAATACCATATAATTTAATAATAATATTATACACTAACAGCTAATATAACCGTACATGCTGTACATCGCTGGTTACACTAGTGTAACCAGCGATTTGTGTAAAAAAAAAAAATTGTTTAAATAATATATTACCATTTATATTTTTTGGTGTAGGCGTTTTGACTATTGGAAGATATAATAGTAAAAAAAGATAGATTCCAGTCAATGCGTTTTGTTTCAGACAAACACCTATTTATAAAAATAACAAATAGCTGTATTAATTACAATTTAAAAAAAAAAAAGAGAGACATATAGTACATAAGTAGTTAAAGTATAATATATGTATACAAAAAAAACAATGTATTTTAAAATAATTTCCTATACATACTATTAGTAAAAAATACACAGGAATTTAGGGTTGGGCCTAAATTTGTGAAATTTCCATTTACAAATAAAACTATAAATGCTACTATTTTGAATCCATAAAAAGGCAATACTAATAAAAAATAAAGGCTAAATAATACTACTGTATAATAAAAAAATGTGATTTGAAATTATTATTTAATAAATTGTATTGCATATTTTTACTTAGTTATAGGTATACCTGCACAAATAGTGTCTTTTGTATTAAAAATATTTCATTATTTTGTTTCTTTACTATACACATAGTAGAGTTTTCCACAATTGTTTCTTAAATTTTTTCCATATATATAAACTTATTTTAAGTACAAATAGTCTAAACAAAGTAAGTCTTGTGCTTTAAAAGTAAGTCAAACTTATATCCGTATTCATCATTGTTTATGAACATACCAAGACACGTTTATCGAAAAAAGCGCCATTTATATGGTATGTCGAGTGTTTCAATAACAACAACAGAAAACTAATTGGCCATTATTAAGTCAATTTAAAGATAACGTGCTGATGTTTGAAAAATTATGTCCAGCCAAAACCCTCGATGAGAATATATATATATATATATATTTTATATTTTACTACATTTTTATACAGTTTATTACCTACAACTATTCAGTTAGTTTATCACAAATGCCTACACTCTAACGTTGTATAATTACATAATCCATTATTTAAATAATGGATTTAAATTAAAATAACTTAATAAAAAAAAACTCGTATAAATATTATTATTTTTTTTATCTTTTTTATGACCGTTTGAAGATATTTACTGTACCCTACATTTAACTACACGTCCACTGTTATCCAATACTATTTGCTAAATTAAATTATTATTTACTATGTACGATACAAAAGTTGATAAATCATTATGGATCCGAACGAAAATTCATCACAATGACAATATCAAATACATTAGCATTTATTCATTGGATTTTTTTGGTCCATGAAAGTTGAACAAAAATCGATTGTTTCCCAATTTTAAATAGAAATAAAATTGTTTTTATTACAATAGAAACAAATAAATAAAATAACATTTTTAAATGCTAAATAACTATATTTTTTTTTTATTTGTTGTTAAATATTGTATTAAATCAAAAAACTATAATTTTTAAGAGAAACTAAACAAATTTAATTTTTCCCAAAATAACAGTTAAAAAAAAAAAAGAGAGAATGTACGAATGCACAATTTTGGAACTAAGTAGTAGGTACTTTTCCAAACAGATTTTCCAAAAGAAACGTTTGAAACAAAAAAAAAAATTAGGCAAAATATTTTTTTTAAAATTATTTCTTGTTCTTCATTAATCCATCAGTTAAGTAGTATTCTACAATTGGTATGTTCCAACATAACATAGTTAAACATAAGACTGTATGTAAAACTTTCATGGATTAAAATTTTAAGCTGGGAAAATATTCGTATCTATCCGTGTTGCCATTAATCGGTTATGTCGCTACAATAGAACAATGTCTATGTGTAAATAGAACGTGCAATGGGTTTGAAACGTCAGCTAACAAATGTCAACGTGGATACATCCGAAAATGATATCAAGCCAATAGTTGTTAAACTTATCATCCAGTAAACAGTAATTGAAAAACACCTTTGTTGTATCGCCAACTCCAAAGCAGTATAATAATAAAAATACAACAATGAGACAATTATGGACAAACTTTAAGATTTTTGCCTTGAAAGTGACACTGTAGTAGTCTGATAAAAAAAAAAATTAACTACCAATAAATACACTACGGTCACTATAGTGTAATAATAAGAAAAGGGACACTCCAGCGTTAGCCATAGACTGGGAAAAAATGTATAAACCAAAAAGCGTACGGAATCCTCTTAAAAATAAAAATCACGTTCGAAGATGCTCAACATCCCATTATAAATTTTTATTACTGTTACTGTATGTTATTACCGATTATATTACTGTTCTGTAAACCTAATAAATATGTAACAATGAAAAATGGTAAGATTTAAATTTAATTCTTTATGCGAAACAAGACACTTTAATGATTTTTAGTAGTTTAGAAATATATGTTTTATAGATTCTAACCGACTAATACGGCAATATGATTTAAAAATAGAGTTACAGTTTTTAATTAGTTCATATAGACTAGGATTGTATTTCATTTTTTTTTTTATAAAGATCAAAAGTGAAAACGCAAAACTATTTTTTTTTTTCACATACATTATCTACAAAAAAATTATACTCACATATTAGTAAGCTCAACGGCAGTATTATGTGAAAGAGCAAAAGTGAGATGATGAATTTCTTCATGGTTCCTGCAAAAAGTCAAAGCTTATATTAAAAAAAAAAAAAAAAACAAAACGGAATGAGCAAGTTTCTAAAATATTTTTGTTGAAAAGATATTAATATATATTTATAATAATAAACGAGTCGCGTCGTCTTTCAACATTGTAGCAGGTATTCAATTTAAGTTTTGGATTGCGGCCAAGTGTCGAGCGTTATAAATCAAAAGCCACAGGGATTTTAAAAAAAAAAGGCCATTAGCCTACTAAAGAACACAAACATGCATACGTACACACACACACACACACACACAAACTCAAAGGTCATGTGTGATATGTACAGTAAACGGTGGGCTTTGCAAATTTTAAATACATTACACGAAATACAAATAGCATAAATATTAATTTGATAAATGTCAAAAAATTATACCCTACACATAACCGTATACATTGCTGACAGTGACCAATTGTGGTGTTGCGCGATAATTTTTTTTTTTTTTTTTACAACAAATTACATAAGAAAAATATAATACGCTTTTGCCTTTTTGAGAAGAAATCGTATTGGTTATTGCAATCGCCAACAACAACAACAACAACAACATACTATACTGGTGTACACATACCTGTTTTGTAATTTTTTTTTTTTTTCAGACTATGTGTGCTTGCACGTCTTCTTGTCCTTTGATATTGTAATTTAATTGTTTTATTCACATGATGACGATGTGTGGAAACGAATAATTTGTTTGATTAAGGCCCCCGAACAACCGTCATCGCGCGACGCTCGCCGGCCGTTCAATAAACCATCATCATAACAATGTTACTACACAAGGTAGGCAGGCAAGGTGGACAAGAGCATAGAACGACAAAAAGGAAAATATCGTTATTATATTTCGGCACAGTATGGATTTTTAATTATATAAAGTTCAAACCGCACTCGGTCGAGCCGCGTTGTTATCAATAATATTATTGATGTTTTTTTTTTTTTTCGGACAGGGGCTCTCAAAATAATAACCGTTCCACGCGACGGGTCCGGCAAAAGGAGCGGCCGCGTTATGGCATGTATACAGTGTATTGTTATGGCGTGTATCTATATATATTATATTGTGTGTGTGTGTGATATATATATATATATATTATCAAAACGAGATTAACTGGATTTCGAACTTTGTATCGGACGTCCGGAAGGCGGAAATGTAATATTTTTTTTTTTTCCAAACGGGACGGATTTCACAAGCGAATACCTACATTATTATTACATATATTATATTGTTATTCCAATAATTTATTGTTTGTATTATTCACTACACTATACCGGCGGCTGCTATACACTCACTGCTACACGTACACAACATTGCCACACGCTTGTTATGCGCGCCGATCGTGTTTACACTATTCGAACGAGGCGGCGGTGGCGATAAAAATATAAAATATTAAATAAATAAATTAATAAATACTATTACGGCGAACAGCCGCCGCACAGCTTTTATCGCGGTATTATTATTGTAATTAAAATCACCAAAGGGAAACCTAGACCACCGGGGGGGGGCTGATTTTTGTCGTTGCAATGCAATATTATTTTCACAATAATATTATTTTTTTATTATTATTATTAACAATATTTTTTTATTATTATTATTAACAATATTATTTTCCAATAGGAATAATTGTTATGTTGATATTGTCGTTTGGGCCGGAAAAAACCTCATAATATTATTTGTGCAAAATTGGCAAAAACGACATTAACTCGATAAAAACTCGAGTCGAAAAACATCTTACGTGGAATACCTACTAAATTATAACAAAAAATACATTCTATGTGTATCTATCACATGAGGCGTTTCAAAAAAAAAATTGTATGTTTAATGCAAATCATTTCGCTAAACACGTCCTCTTTTGTGGTTAAATGCAAAATGGCGTTAATAATATTAATTATTACGTAACACATTGGAGATTTTTATTATATAACTTAAAACAGCTACATGACGTGATAATGATAAACTGATAACCGTTTTAAAGCAAACTATTAGCGTGACGTCTTAACAGTGTCATGTTATCAATTATTTTATTCCATTTATTTATTTAGTTGTTCATATATATTTACATAAGTATAATAATTTTACTGTTTGTTGAAATAATCGATTTGTTTTCGTTTAAAATGTAATGTATCATTTTGTCGTGGCAATTATTTTTTTTTTCAAACAATACACTGCCAATTAAAAAAATAAACGGTGACAATCGTACCTTGTAGTTTTTTTATATTACATTTAGCAGTTACACTTACAATCGGTTTTTTTTTTAAGTTTTAAAAATATACTTACTTACTTTACTTTACCAATAAACTGTGAAAAAAATTTGATATTTAAATTAAATTAAAATAAAAGTCAATACTATATGGTTGTGCAGTTTGACCGTAGGAAATTAGTGAAATATGTAATGTGTTTTCAATGTGAGACCGATAAAGTTTTACCTAGTAAAAGTAAATAGCACGACTTCAAATATATATACCTCTTGTGTAATAAAAAAATCTGAATAACTAAAAAAGTGGTAAACCCAATTTCGGAATTGCCACCGTACAATGGCTGCGTACAGACTATTTATCGTTTTAACAACGGTTACGTCCGGTAAAATCATCCGTATTTACATCAAGTATCGGCTACATTCATTGCTAGCGCATAAGTCTGTGGAACAAAATACAATAAACCTATTGTATAATTAATTAGTTAGTATTTGTTTGTAATAAAAATTTGCCGATCGTGGCGCCGTATCGTGACAACGCATCGTCTGGCCCAGCACCAACCGTAGTTTGTACGAATCCTTTACCGTTATACTGTGTTTTGTATGAAATGTAGTAACTCAACCCATTTAATAAACCCAAGGTGTTAATTTTTATTGATACACTTCATTCTGTTACTATAATGCTAATATGATTGGACCTATAAATGTGTAAAAAAAAAAAAAGGAATAGTTACAGTCTGCTTAAAGCCTACGGGGCTAAAATAATATAAAACATGGAACATGCTTTAGCCGGCTGGCTCCTGAATCGGTCTGATCAATTCTGATCTATAATCATCATCTCCTTGCGATTTACGACGACAGCATAGTCTTAATTATAATATTATGTTCCGGCCAAAATAGTTTATATACAAAAGTATAAATACTAATAATTTGATGTTTTTTTTTTTCACGTCTTAAAAATTATATAATTGTTAATTACTATACCGGTTTCTATTTGTGTACCGAAAAATTAGCATTTTGCACTTGTAAGGTTTTTTCCGGGCCGACGACGATTAATAATATTCTGTGTCCGGCTCGCGGCCGCCAAAACAATATGGCGACCGATCGCGAGAACCGGTGTAATTTTTTTTGCCAAGTTTCCCTTCTGGTTTTATTCGCTCGCTGTGTGATAAGTGAATTTCTCGACCGGCGCACTCGGGTGTTTTGACCGTATATACAATATTATAACACTTAATGGCAATCACAATAATAAATAACAATACTAATATTATTATATTTATTAGGCGTACAAACGATAATATAGCCCGTCCAGTTTGCCGTGGTTTGACCCGAAGTTGACCTAGTAGTAAATAGACCATATATTATTATATTATTCTCTCTAGATACCACCGCCTACTGTATCTCTTACAACAGCAATTTATAGCATCAGCTACAGCTGCTCTTCCCGACCAACCTAACCTTCGCTCTGTTCGCACCACCAACATTATAAAACATTACAATTGTAATAATTGTGCTGAAATCAAGACTATATACCTACACCCACGACGTCACTACTTATGGTGTTCTAGTTTTGCACGTACACGCACAAGAATTTATTGATAAAAAAAAAAATAATAAACGCTGATGTTTATTTTTTATCGGTGGTCTCGCGTCATAATTGATTTAAAATTTTAAAAAGTCACACAGAGAGTCCAACAAATAAACAACAGTACAATAGTTACACACGACTATTCACTTTTTGGTGAACATACTTTTGAAATTGAAACGTAACAGATTCCTCATATTATGCAGACTTTGTATATTATATAACGTAAAATATTGTGTGTGTGTGTGTGTGTGGATATTTAAATCACCAGAAAATTATGTATTGTACTTAACCACTCTCTCCCCGATTTTGACCGAATCCAGTCTAATATTTCAAAAAAAAAAAAACGTCAATAGTTTTTAACAAGTTGACCAATTTGAACCTTAACGCGAGCATTTTTTTAAGGCGCATTGTATAGGCAATTTTTGAATAAAACAACATTAAAAAAAACTGGTACCCATCAACGTAGCAAAAGTCCAAAAAAATATCTATTTTTATTTTATTAAATGCATACGGTTATTATGTTTAAACCAAAACATATTATAAAAAATACTGCCAATTCTTAGTTTTGAATTCTTCACATAACATTTTCCATAAGGCATCTGGTCGTGGCACCGATTTCTAGTTGTTACTCAATCATTTCTATTTGAAAAATTGCTATTCTTAAACATTTTTGTTTCCCTACCATTTTTACCATTAGATTAAACACAAAAATTAACAATCAACTTTGACCGATGCACCATGATAACAAGTACCAAAAAATCTGTAGCTTGTTATATAATATTGTATAGGCTATTTTTTCGAGACATTTAAAATTGTTATTTTACAACTAGCATCTTTTTATTCAAATTTCTACAGCTCCGGGTAAAAATAAATGTCTCGGTTACCAAACTTTTGATGTTCTATACAATGTACATTTATAACATTGAGTGGTGTGGACATTTTTAGAATTTTCCGTTAAGTCCTAAAAAAAGTTGCATAGGCTCTTTATAAGTATAGGCTGTATAGCACTTGTTCTGTAAAATGCCAAACTTTGAAGTTACTTATACGTATCACAAAAAACCAAAAATTGTCTTCAAAAAAAAAAAAAACGGATTATAGTTTGATGTGTCGAAATAAAAAAATTAGCTACTTGAAAATGTTGAAAATTGGGCGGTAATAAAAAAAAAATTACCTAGACAGTAATAATACGTTATATGTATGTGTTTTAAATCAAACACTCGCTACTTGTGTTTGTAATCGGTGCGCTTACTATACATTATAGTATCAAATATGATATAGTGTTTTTTTTTTTTTTTTTTTAATAGCAGAAATGGTCGTCTCGTTGATGGTGCATTGATACAATTAGACATTTAAGCAATCGTCTCTCTCACACGAGTCATCACGGTGGCATCGCGCGTTAGGCCCCTTCAAGGTCTGTTGCGAGCTGTACACGATGATATTATGTTAATAACTATGGCCGAAAATGATCCGTCCAAGATAACCCGACAATTGTCATTACATAACAGCCATAACAGTTGTTGTTATATAATACCGCTGTTTACATAAAAAATATACGAAAAATCGACGCGTTATATTAATATAATATAGTGTTGTACGCAGGCGAAATACTGGCGCGTCCTTTTTATTCTTTTACATTGGTGATTCTCGTTGGAATAGAAAAAAACAATATTATGACTATAACGCACAATACCCCTATGGGGTGTACTCACCCGACAACGGCAACGGTCTACGAGGAGCATTCGAATCCGGTGGTATATCGTGTAAGAGTATGTACATCGTACAGATAAACGGCGACGCTGCTATCTTCTCAACTGGCGACCGTTTGAATCACATAGGCCGAGCAGTTCAAACGACTCGACCCTCGGCGGCGGTCTCGGATTAATTTGTTTTTTTTTTAATCCAGTGGTCAGTAAAAAAAAAAAAAAAATATATATATATTACTACTATAATGCTGCACACACTGTATAGCTGTATAATAATATGCGCTATTGTCCCGCGAACCGACTTGTCAGTTAAACGCAATCACTTCACAGTACCTGCGTTAGGTACCTCTAAAATTCAATCCGAGTCAACTGAACGTTTCTGGATGGATATGGCTCGTGGAAAAATTGTATAATGTAAAAAATATATATGAAATCGAATCGAGCGGATACTGATGGCAAATGTTCTCTCGTTTACACACGCAGAGTTGGGCACAGGTCCAAATTAATAATTTGTTTTCTATGTAATCATCGTTTGATCGGGATGATATTTAATACGTTTGTATTGTATTACAAATACAGGGGCCACAGAATAAAAAAAAAACCCTCAAGATAAAAATGTCTTAATTTTAAATCTGTTATCTCTGAAATTTTTTTTTTTTTTCAAACAAACTGTTACGCTACAAACAATTAATATTGTACACGGTTGTTTTTTTTCCAAACACATATTGTACGTGTTACTCGAGTTTAAAAATACCCAGTATAGACAATAAATATCAAACAATGGTCAGAATTTAAATAATTAACTTTAACCGCGAAGCTCCTATGAGCTCAAAAGTTTATGGAGCTCTGGAAAAAAAAATAAATAAAAAAAAAGATAAATATTTTAGTATATTGTCTAATTTGGTAAAATATATGTATAAACTAAAGTGTGTCTACGAAGAGAAAATGAAAATTGAAATTGTTTTAAGAAAAATCCAGTGTCACCCTGTAATTAGTAAAAAATTACCTACCTACCTTCTTTTTTAGAACGTTACACCATTTCTTTGTTGCCGTGTTGGTATAGGGGTTCGGTATATTGGCAAATTTGTTCAGTTTAAATTCAAAGTTATACAACTATAGAATGTATATATAATTATAATCATATATAGATTTAAGACCATCTAAATTGTGATGTAAGCCATTTTGATTTTTGACAAATTTGCTCGTCAGTCGACAGAGAATTTGTCTTTTACTTGCTCGATGGGCTCATTATTGTTAGACCCTACAGTGAATGATGTGATTGAAGAATTTATTGAATACTGTCAGTTACACGGGTATTGGGTGCTATTATATTTTACAAACAAAGCCCTATACTATTTTTATTTTAAAAAAGCTCCTGCTCTGAAATTCAACATAATATTTTCTATAATCCGAATCAGCAATCTGAACAATACAATCGGCAACATTACCTACAGAATATTATTATTCTGATCTATCAATTTTTTAAACATTTTAATATGTGTTTGTTCTCTGAAACCACTCTAGACAAGTATTAAAAAACACATATTATTTAGTTCTATATATAGTTTGTCGGAGACATCGTTTCTACTGAGACAATGTTGTTTAAACGACCTTCGTCGTCAGAGCACCATTGTACGAGTAAACGATGATCAAACTTCTAAGCAAAACCAAGTAACGAGAGTAGAGGTGACAATTATTACTATAAAGTATAAACTATAAAATATATTTTATTATTTAAGTGATACACGGTAAGATAAACTGTAAAGCCATTTAGGCGGCGCAACTGCCAATAGAATTTTAGGACCCAATGAAATATTCTTATCATTTATCCTGTGGCGGAACTAGTGATAAGAATGCAGATTATGTCTGATAAGAGCACAGATTATATCCGATAAGAGCATTTCTAATCTGTGATAAGAGCATGGTTCATTTTTCCCCGCATAGGTATTATTGTTTTGGTTCTTCTACTAGTATTTTCTTCAATTTAATACTTTAATATCTGTGATTCTTAGTTCGAATTTGTTTCGTCCACAGTGAAAACCACAAATGAATCCGTTCGACAACTTGAACATATCAAACGGGTGGCTAGAATTGTTCAACGTCGACGAACGACAGCCGTGTCGCAAGTGTTTCAAGTCTAGAAAGTATTTTTGCTACACTTGTTACACGGTCAACTCGGACTTGGAAAATAAAATTCCACGACTCAAGGTGGGTGCCGATCAGCTATCGCTGAGTAGGTTATGACGTGATGTATAGATAATATTATTATGCTGCGTTGGGCGGTACGGAGGAAGGTGGTGACCTGAATATATTATTATTATTATCGTTGTATTTGGTTCAGGCTGTTTTGTGGTCGGTTCGAAATGTTAAATTCGAAAGTCAAATGATTAAACATATGACAAAGTTTTGCGTGTCTGCAAGAGTCGAGTGTTCATCAAACGACCATTTACTAACTGTTTGTGCCTTTGTGTCTGTATCAATTTTTTAGTTGCCGCTGAAAATCGACGTCATCAAACACAGCCGCGAAATAGCCGGCAAAAGCACGGCCATTCACGCAGCGTTAATAGCACCGGACGACGTGACCATTTACATATACCCCGACATGCCTACCTATACAAAAGACGACAAGGTAATTGCGCTAAATTGTACATATACCTAGTTTACTGTTGTTACTTAAACATAACAAGTCGTACAATGTGTTACTACTACTACTACTACTACTTGTAGATCACTACTGCGAGAATGATCGAAATCAACTGTTTTACTTATATTCCGGGGATTAAGTACCGTTGTATTTTGTTGTTTTCACAGGTAATTCTAGTTTACCCTGGAAAATCTTCCGTCAGCCTTAAGGAATTCTACAATAAGGCGAAAAAGTAATTAATAATATAATAATATTAAATATTCACTTGCTCTGCCTACTGTTACTGTATACGAGTAGAGATGATGTATTGTGTAGACAGAACTTTGTTTCATTTATAGTTATAAGGTGTATATATATAAAAAAAAAAAAACATTGTCATTTGGAATGACATTTTCAACTTTTTCATTCATGATTTTGTAAAAATTTTGCGGACGTTTCTTTTTGAATTGTTGTGTAATCATCCTGCATTTACATTGACTATTTTTTGAACGCAACTCCAATATTTCCATTGTTTCTATTTTCATCACGAGTGTAGCTGTTAAAAATTGCATTTTTTTTTCTTCAATTTTATTAGTTTTTAAATTGTAACTTTTACCATTTCGGACGGCTCACCATTTGCACTATGTTTCTACCGTGTCTAACTTGATTATAAAAACAACACAGCTAAAGTAAACGTTAAGTAACTAAACTGGAGGAGGAGAGTGAGGGTAGGGGTGATATACACCCTGATCACTCTCCTGTACACACCGACGTGATGTTGTATCTTTCGTTACGACAAGTATTTGGTATGCCCGTAAAATTATTATCATAGTATAGTGTAGTTTTACTTTTTTGTTTTAGCCAAGCAATTGACGAGAGCATTGGCGCAAAGAATTGTTACGGAGAAGTCATTACGCACGCCCTGTTCATCGATAGTACGTGGAGTCAAAGTAAAGGAATACTTAAAGATTCTCGGATAGCGGGTAAAACAAAATCGCTCAGATGAATACACAATTATATCATATAATGTTACTATACGACGTGCAATGTGAGCGAATTGTGAATAAAAGCTTTTTTTTTTTCTATTCTGTTGTTACACAGGGCTACCTTGCGTAAAATTACAAATAAGATTATCTCAGTTTTGGAGGCACCAAAAAGGCAGTCCGAGGTGGTTTCTCGCCACCATCGAAGCTATCCATCAGTTGCTCGTAGAATACACGTACGTCGCCAAGGATACGCAACTATGCGACGAATACGACAATTTATTGTTTTTCTTCCGATTTATGTACGAAAAAATCCATCAGTTGTACGAACACGATAAACTAATGTCGTACAGGAGACCGGTAAACATATAAAGAAGAAATGAAAAAAATGTTAAAAGTGCAAATCAATCAATGTAATTTTTGTATTTCAAAAAAAAAAATATATATATATGTTTCATAATAATTAACATTGCTTTTGTGTATAATTATAGTTTTTTTTTTTTTTTTTTTTTAATGAAAAGCTAGTTTTTGCACGAGATTAGCTACAAGTACGGCGAATAAATTAATTTTTTTTAAGTATTAACAATTTTAATAATATTATTATTATGCTAATCGCTGTAGTATAAACACAACAAATATTAATAATTTTTTTTTAATTCTAAGAAATAAAACATTTAATTCTATATACCTGTATAGTGTATAAGTATATATATATATATATATATATATGATATATATATATATATATATATAGTTATAGATAAAAAAAAAACATTAGAATGTATTAACACTTATGGTAAATTTAAAACAGCAATAATAAAAAAAAATAAAAAATCATAATAAATAAATAAATAATAATAATATTAATAATAATAACAATATCTATTAGATACTGAAAAAAAAAACATAATATGTTTAGTGTAGAAATATTTAAAATAATCTTCTTTATACACAGTCTTAAAAAAAAAAAAATTACAAAAAATTAAACGGAACATAACGTTAAGTTAAAAAAAAAAAATAAAACGATAATTATATTTTGTTAGTTACTTTTCAGAAAAAAAAAAAACTATCGTTTAAATTAAACAACTACTAGACTACGACGTTTACACATTTAATTTAAAGATATTAATTAAGAAAAATTATAATAATAATAATAGCAGCTGAGAGAGAGAGAGGTCTTGATTTGAACGGACGACGACGACAAAGGCATATAAAGCAGAAGTACATTGTGTGTATTGTAAAAAAAAAAAAACAAACAAACAAACAAGAACACTTACACCTGCGAACATTTGAAATCATAATTGATTATTTAGTATGTGGTTAACAACAAATAATAATTATGATGAAAAAGAAAATGGAAATATTAAAAAAAAAAAAAAAATTATAATACATAAGGTTTATATAATGTATGTATGTATGTATGTGTTAAGCATAAGAGTTAAAAAAAAAAATACTCAAATGATATTGGAAAAGAAATATTTGCTTACCTCCAATGAAGAACTGTTATTTTTATTTTCAGTACTGTTAATGGAAGTGTTTTTTGCGGTAGTTTCAGGCACTGGAAAAAAAAATCAATAAACAATCAATGATATTTTATACAATATACTTGACTTTTAAATTGAATAGTATTTTTATAGTCCGCTGTAAACTGATGTTCGACGCAAGCGTTTAAAAGATAACATAAAAAGACTCGAGGATTACTAGTGTATATTTTTTATTTTAAATTTCAAAAAAAAAACCACCCCTAATGAAGCAGTTTTGAAAAAAATGTTAATAAAAAGATACAGCACAGTGAAGTTGGAGAGTTCAGGAATTATTAACATTTGAATTGACTAAGCCCCACCCAAAACGAGCGAAATGAAGAAAAGTTTCTATTCCCATCCGCGATAGGGTTTATACTGTAAAGAATTAAACGATATTTTGTACATGAGTTGATCACAAACCATGCCTTCATTTTAAGATGAAACATTCGAGGGGGTTTTTTTCAATTTCAAAACTAAAGGGAAATTTTTTTATTTTTTACATTTTTGGCCCAATACAGTAGTATCTCTTTTGGGTACGATCTCTGATTTTTACATTTAATCAAACAAACATATCGTAGGTGGTCACAATAATAATAACGTCAACTCGGATTCCTACTTGGACGACAATAACTTGACAGCACATAATATTATACACACACTGGTAGAACGTTTCAACTATTTTCAATCTGCATTCACAATTTACCTTTGGTTTCGGTATTTGGTGTTGTCAATGATTTTTCTTGAAAAGCATGCAGCCTTTCGCGATATGTTTGAAGCTCTTTGCGCAGTTCTTCTTCTAGTTTACCGTGTTTTGTGGTCGATATCTGTGGAATAACCAAGCACATTATAAGTCTGACGATTGTACATACACAGTTTACAGTAAAAATTGTTTTTTTTTTTAAAGTTGTATTTTATAAGGTAGCATCATCGGTATAGCGTATTAGACACAACCTAAACGTCTACCTGGTACGTAATATATTATATTGAATCGTTTAAATATAAGCTGCTGTTTATCGTACAGAATTATTTAGTTTTTTGATTGACAAGAACTTTTACAATAATCACACACGGTCGTACGATGACTATTGTGCCACAATGAACCAAACAAATTTTTTAAGGTCAAACACCACCACCACAATTACAAGTCATTAACAACAACAGCCGTTTTCCGTACCAAAAGTTCGGTGATTTGAGAGTTCAACGAGTTGACGATCGGTTTGACTTTGGTAATGCGAGACAATTGCAAGGCGTACGCTTTGTAAAGGCTACAGTTTGACGTCAGGTTCGAAGTGCCCAAACTGGCGGCGATCGTGTCCACGTCGGTCATGTTCATGGATTCGTTCAGTACGGTGATGATTTCATTGCCTAGATAACATAACAGAAAAAAACCGAGTAATCATCACAGTCATTGCACACTGTGTTGGTTTTAAATTTCAATAAAGCAAATACCCTGAGACACGGCCGAGAGTAGTATTTTGTTAGGTTCGTCCGAGCTGTTTTGATCCGGATTGTCGTCACTATTCGAGTTGTTCACCAAAGGCACTTTGAGTATGTCGGCGACCAATTGTAAACGTTCGTGTAAAGCTTCTTCGATCACTTTATTGTTGCGTCGCAATTTTTCTAAACAAACGATAGTAGTATTATTATTATTATTGTTATGATTGGATCCTACTATTGAGAGCGGTATTATATTATGTGTTGAAACCCCACATTAACGCTACAGACCACAGTGACGGTGATTGTGACCTATTATACTTGACTAACTGTTGTACATACGTACCTAGGTGTGTAATGACTGGTTCGGCTTTGAGAACAGAGCTTTGTGATACCAACACTTCGGATGGTTCGATCAAAGGAGATTTTTGAGTTTTACTCAATACCGCCGGAGAACTGTTGTTGACAACAGCTACAGTGGGATTGCTACTATTGGTAGCTTCGGGTTTTGTTGTAAAGCCGTCTTCGTTGCCTAAAATGATAGTGATATTTGTTTGTTTTATATATTTTAAAAATACGTGTGCGATAAGATAAGGTAAAACATAGGTAGGTAGGTAGGTAGGGTGGTATTCTGTGTGTAGTAATATAGATAACTGCAATACCACAGATAATCTGTGGTAATACTACTCACCACCACCGCGTATGGAAGTGTTATTACAGCTGTTGTTACTCGTGTCCAATAATGATGTAGTAGATAACTGCGAGGTGTTTAAACTAGTGTTGTTGTTGTTGTTGTTGTTAGGAGGTTCTGCACAGTTTTCAGCGGTTAACCTGCACAAGTTCAATAGTCAATATTTACGGATATGGAATCGCTAAGGAATTATCGAAAAATACAGCCCGTTCCCGGTGTTACTTACGACTTTTTTTTGGCACTACTACTACCGCCCTGCTGCATAATGTCTTCGTAGTCACAAATGACATGATGAGGGCTTTGCTGTTGCGGTTCCGTTTTCCTCATTTTCCCTTCTCGCGCTTTGTACGCGTCGGTCGCTTCGGAAATATGACGAAACCAACTAAACAACAACAACAACAACACCAACACAACATTAGTACATTATATTATATTATATTTGTGTACTCCGATTGAGAATACACACACACAATTACAAAAAAATAATACAGTATGTGTACACTAACGTTTTTCGCTCGTTCGACGATGTAGTGACCAAATCATAAATCTGCGCACCGGCCTGTGAAGTGTTCACTAAGAACATGGCTTTTTTGTCTGCAAAATATACAAACGAAACGTTATTGTGTGTTTTATTTTATACGAAATATTCGTCTTGCACTTTTTTGTACTCAACTCACCACACACACACATAATATCTGAGAAACATTTATTTTTACACATTTTAATCTCTACACACGAGCAGTATATATATATATATATAATCTGTACCAAATTTGAATTAACAGTTCTTACAAAAATTTGTCTTATACAAAATTACAGCGGGTACATCGTTCGCGAACGGCGTTCAAAAATCGATCAATATCGAGTGTTTTGGCGCAGATTCAATGGTAGTCTTACCGGGTTGTTTTTTTTTTTTTTTGAGGTTACCACTGTTGTGGTATAGGTATGTGTGTGGTTACCTCCGCTCGGTATCGTCGCCACCACTCGTGTGATGGCGGCGCAAAATTTAAATACACCCGTGTTATCGTCTCGAGCAGAGAGCTCTTTTTTTCTAATAATCATCATAACGGGCCGCAAATGAATGAACGGATATCTCTATGAATAGACCCACATTGAACATATGGCAGTAGTCGTTTCAGCGGTCTCACGCGTGTGTGGCTGCACTGGTGCTCTTGGGGGGGGTGCGCACACGACGATAACGGTGCGGAGAAGATCAATGATACAGCATCTATATTGAGGCCACCGCGCATTCGCATTACAGGTGTTGGCGTACAGCTGTCGAGTGGACATACCGTTGAAAATAATTATTTGGCATCACTGTAATCAACGCTGCCGTCGCCGCACCAAACTCTTTTCTCCAACTGGATGTGTTCAGTCTAGCGCTTTACATCATAATATTATCTCGAAAAAACCAAATTGACCAAATGAATGAATTCAACAATAGTAGGTACCAATTGTTTGTATTGGTTTGCCCAACTTGTATGCCCCGGACGTTTAATCCTAATGTAGTGACCGCAGAGTGGTAACCATATAGGTTACCGGGGTTACCACAACAACCAGTAAAATCAATACGATTTCGCGCCAAAACATCACGCGATATGGTCGTTTTTTGAAGTTATTCCAAGTCGTACAACAATAATGATGTACCTAAATCATCGGTGGCAGTATCGGTTCTCGACCAGACTACGCGATCTACCTATTATTATGACAGTTTAGATGGAATATATGTTTTTTAAAAAAAAGACTCCAAGCTACTACCAGTGTGTAGGCGAAGACAAACGAGTTTTATTTTTTAGCCGCAGAAGAGCGGCGCGACAGAGCCCCGCCGTTTGTGAGCAAGTCTGTGGGCAGATTAAACTCAATCTTCATCGAGTACTACTACTACTACTGGTACGCGTACGCATAGGCAATGAATTGAAATAAAAAGAAACGAGTAATGCGTGTTTTTTTTTTAAAAGAGAGATTAAAATGTGTCGTTTAGTATAGTGTATTAGTAAGCGTTAATAATTAAACTTTATCCTAAGTTAGTAGCGTGTGTTAGCGTAGTGTGAGAGAGCAGTATAAAGAGTGTGTATAGACCAGTGTGTTTCACAAAGTTTTTGACGTACCGACAGCGTTGTGTCTAACTAAGGCGGTGGACAATTTTATGATCGGACTCAAAGTGGGCGTACGGTCTTGAAATCCGTAGTATTTCAACACGTACTTGTCGTCAACTTTGTTTAGCAAAATAATTAAATCCTCCAGCAGCAGTACGTGGAGCTCGATCATTTTCTGACGAGTCCCGCCGATTCGCAGCCAAAGGCCACCCTCGTGTATTAATTTATGTTTGGTAACATCCAAATTCTAAATTACAAACAAATATTAAATACACACGAGTACACGTACACGCACGTACATATACACGTATAATATATTATACCGTACTACAAGAATAGCTAAAAACACAACAAATATTTCATCGTAACAACAGAAGAACCCCACCCGAACACAAACCCATGTCGTTTTAGAAAAATTAATAATTGAATATTCGAGTAAACGTAATTCGCAATTCGGTTACCACAGGTTAAAACCAGTTGCCATCAGTTACCATCAGTTTGGTCGATCGACAAAAAAAGTTGAACACGACTACTGGAATCCGGTTTTGTTCACACATTTCACACTGATTCAATTAAAAAGAAAAAAAAATAGTTTCAATTTAATTCAGTTAAAATGACATTAAAAGTGCAGTTGTGCGTCAAGTTGTTGTAAATACAATTATCACTGTTTTGCAAAAGAAAAAAAAGAGAATTAAAAACAACGGACATTGAGAGTATATCTATCTATTGGGAGAGCTCAAGGCACCTAGCCAAAGAGGAACTAACTAGCATTACAGGATAAAGAAATACATAGAAACCGTTTGAGAATGTCTCAAGTGTGACGCTATAAGTTCCAAGAGTTCTTTAGCGCGTTCACACACGCGTTCACAGACCACTTAACTTTTTTAATTCAACACTTACAATACAGGGCGATTCAAAAAAAAAAAATGAACCGCGATTCCATTATGAAATATTATTTTGTAAATGTACGAATCAGAGAATGAGGGAGAGTGGCTGTTTGAAAGATTCGGTTTCTAGGCAAACTGATTAGGCAACCATCCGAGACTTAGAAACCTAATTTGTGTTAAATTAAAAAAATTAGAGCCCCAAGTGGTGTGAACGCTGTGTGACGATGCTAAAGAACTCTTAGAAAATCATAGCATCATCACACTTTAGACATTCTTAAACGGTTTCCATATCCTTTTTTGTTTATCCTCTAACGATAGTTGCTTACGGTAATAATTGTACGTACAACTGACTGTACGCACAACTGCTGCTGCTTTCGATGCCATTTTAATTGAATTAAACTGTTTTTGTTTTTTTTTTCAATTGAATCCGTGTGTCTACTGGAAATGTGTGAACAAAACCGGATTCGAGTCATCGTATTCTCTACTTTCTAGTCGATCCGACCGAGTCCCCCCGAATCCCCAGTTGCGGTTATCGGGTAACCACCGAATTGCTGCCGCGCCGAAATACGTTTACTTGAATATTCAATTATTATTATTTTTTTTTTTTATAATATACAACAAGATTTGCATAGGGATTCTCTGCGCTATGACACCTTGCACACCTTGTATTCATAACTCAGAAGATGGTCGACTTTTTCAAACGGCGAGGCGTCCAATTTTTTCTGTATGCCGGACAAACGTAGTTCGTCTTCGGCTTCGCGCACCGCTTGATTGACGTGGTTCAAAATGATTTTACTTCTCTCGAACGCCCGCTTGATGTTTGCCAATTCCTCTTGGTCGTCGTTGGTGCACTTCACCAAGCTCTCGAACAGCAAAGGATATTTCGTTAACCTACAAGTAAGTAGCACACAGAATTAACAATTATGCACAATTATTGTTTTGTCTTAAACATATGTACAATTTGTACACAACATATTAGGCGGCGCTCAGAAGCCAAACTGATTAACTGGATAAAATGACAACATTTTCACAACAGACGGCCAGTTTAAGTTATTTGAAACAACAACAATGTATATGTGTAAGTACAATTGCCAATGTACTTGGCGCACTCTAGTGGTGAAAAATTCAAAAAATTCAAACATTTATTTATCTTGGCCACTGTTGATCGGTTTGGTATCTGAGCGCCGCCACACTTGTATAAAACAACATATTTTGTATAGACACAATTATTTTGGTATTATTCGTTGTATACCTGATCATGCCCGTGGGCAAAATGTCCTTGAGTTGTAAACGTTTGCACACGGGATTGCCTTCGGCTTCGGTTAGAAATTTATTGAGTTTCGGGTCCTTCTTGCGGCTCTCCTTGAGAAACTCCAGCGCGATTTGCTGCCGTGCACAAAACGTGGCCGCAGCTTTTTGAAAAGTTTCACCGGCCAGTCCATCAAACTGTGTGTGCAAGCGCAATTGTTTTGGAATAATATTATACAGCATTGTGAATGTCTTGATAAAATATACCACACACACACACACACAACTAATAATAATCGATTGACTCTTACCGTGTTCAACAGGACGTGTCCAATGTTTTGTACGACTTGGTTGTCTTTTCGCACGGCTTTCATCATGGTACTGAATTGCGAATGGAGCTCGTACATTTGTTCGAGGTTGGCAAACAACAGTTGAAGTTGTTCGTGCGGTAACACTTGCGATTCTCTCATGGGCCGATGGAAAACATGCTCCAAGACTTTCAGTCCTGGTACAAGAGGAGAACATGATGGAATATTCGTTTTTAAACTATAAAATACATATGTGTACCGAAACGATACTTAAAACGACTAAAAATTCTATATCAATATTGATTTTATCTACGGTCACACCGAATCAACGTTACAGTAGCGACACACTAATGTCGGACCAAGTAAACATAACCCGTACACTCACCTCGAATGTGAGATCTTTCGGTGTGGTAAAGCTCGTTAATGACTTCTTGGCGTTTCTTCTCTTTGGGCGACAACTTCTCCAATATTTCCGGCGTTACGTTGCTGGCCCAGTCGGGCAGGTCCAATTCGTGGTCCGAATCGCTGTACAAACACGACGTAATCTCTCCGCCGGGACCGATACCCTCCAGGGATGTACTGCGGCTATCCAAACTTCTGAAATCAATAAAATAATTATATATTTGTTAAAAAACCTAACTAGTAGTGAATAGCGGTTTTGTGTTTCATGTCGAGATGCACACAGCAGCAGCAGCACTTACTTTGTGGATAAATTTGAATTTGAAGAACTCTCCGAACGGGCAAATGAAAATTGCAATTCCGATTCAACGTCGCTAAATATGGAAAAAATAACATAATAATATGTAAGTTACGGGCACCACTTCACATCAAGTCGGTAATGTTATAATATAGTTTCTAATGTTGAACAATAATAAAAGTAAATAATATTATATTACAATTTGTTTTCCAAGCTAACCTTTTGTACTTGGAAGGCAGATTAGGATCACTCGTTTTTCTTCTTTCTCGAATTTGTCGCTGTGTGAAAATAAATGTATTATCGTTAACGCTACTAGGTACTACTGCTCTGACTACACAAGACAATGTTATTATTGAAAACTTGCAATTTTGTTTTCACAATAAATGGGTCGTTATTAATAATAATAACCTACTATTAATAAGTAGGTGGGTGTTGTTCTCATACTATAAACTTAGACACATTTTTACGACCAATATATTGTAGAATAACGAGTTTTTGCGTTAAAACATATATTCGACATACCTTCTGATGAATACGTTCTTTGTAACTTTCCGACCGATTAATCGAAATGGTAGAAGGTTTTGTTTTCGGACAATGCGATCTGTGTGTGTGTGTGTGTGAAATCATAAAAATAAACATTATTATCTCAGATGTCTTTACACAAAAACAGCTATCGAGCACACATATAAATTTAACGACTACTCACATGTCGTCGACAACACTCGTATCTCCTTTGTCAGACTTGAAACTATCGTCGGTTTTAATCAAGAAGCTACTTCCACTTAAACTTGTTCTATCTGTAACAATATAAAGCATAATCGTTCAAATTAAGCCGTTTTATCCATTACAAGCACTGTATTGGAAAAATAATTTCTAACTAGTAGTGTTGCGATACAACAATTTGTTTAGCGTAAAATATTAAATTGCATCGTAATACAACCATTGTCAATGTAAATATTGTCTCGAGACATTCAACAAAGGATCGATTCAATTTTCCTATCAAACAAAAGCCTTTGTTTAAATCCATCAGTTTAACGATAAAACACATAACTCGATTCAGTCGTCTACTTTCAAGTATCACAATGTTACTTTTGACCCCATAAACATTCAATCACTCCCTTAAATATTTTACTCTTTCTCCATTTAAAGTTTAGGAATATGTTGTGTCCTATAGAGGTTAATTGATTATTCTATCGATTAGAGGTTATTGATTATTCTTAACAACAATTTCAAGTCAATGCCCTTAACAGCTGTGTTTACTTATGATATTCATGTTTCACGAAAACCTTACCAGAGTCTTTTTCGGGAAGAGCGCCGACTACGTCTCCAGCATCTTCCGTTTGCCGTTTAGATTTCTCGACTGGAAAAAAATTATAACCACACACAATTTATATGTGATCCTAAATGATAATGAAATTTATAATGTGTATATACTTACTTTGGACGAAATTTGTTAGAGTCGGTTTTCGTCTGGCTTCGCGTTCGGGTCTTATTTTGTCCATAAGCTTACTTATGCGATCGTTGGCCTTTTCTTTCTTCATTATAGGGCCGGGGCAGTTTTCGTCCAATTGTTTTACACAATTTCGATGAAGATTTAAAATGCAATCTGTAAAATATGTATGAAAAAAAAAAAACAAATACAATCAAAACCATATAATATATATTATTAAAGCCGGATATTATTATATACTTGTGCACTGATAGCCTTGCGGTCCGATTCCCCAAATGATCAACTGACAATGGTTGCAATAAGTCACCGTGAAGTACTGATGGGCCACGAAATGATGTCCCTTGGAAGTGAACTATAGGAAAAAATCATTTTTTTAGAATTACAAAAAAATATGTATACATGTAGAAAATCATAAGAAACAACGCCGTGAAACACCACGCTGTACCTTTCTACATTTTCCGATCAATTTGGCTTTTAAGGATTTTTCTTTGGAAACAAAAGTGGGGCATCGTTCCAAAAACGAGCTGAATTGCGCTCCACGAAGGCCAAACATTTTCGACATGACGGTAGCGAGTGCAGCGGCCATTGTAAATCTTCTATCGTCGACACTGTCTTTTTCCATGTCTTCGCTGTTGAATAGTGAAAAAAAAAAAACAAAAAATAATAAACCGTCTATAACACACCACAATTAAACACAGTAATTTCTGTAAAAAAAAAAAAAAACAATTACATAAACGGCTCCATGTTGGGAACGAGAATCATTTCGATTATTTTCAGTTCTTTCACTTTATCGTTGTCGCTATCGTCTAGCTGAGAATCGGGCGGTCCGAACAATGTACCGAGTCCGGCCGTTCTCCTGTGGCGAAAATCACACAGTTGTTCGTTCAGTTCTTCTTTGGCTTTTGTACGTGCTTTCCAAAATACCTTTGTGTAAGAGAGTTTATCGTGAAAAAGGAAAAACAATAATAAAATAAAAATTAACGTTGGACTTTTTTTTAACGCTTTCAAGATTATAATAATAACGGAGTGTTACTTTTCTTAGGATTTCTTCACGGTCTGATTGTTTTTGTAGTATATCGTCAATTTCACGCACCATGTACTCTTCGATATTTGTCAGTCTCAACGGCTATAAAATATTTAAAAACATTATTACACTTGTTAGATGTGAATATAGATGGGGTGGTAGAGGAAGTTGTATTGTAACCACAGATATATATATTACAACTGGATAACCGACTTCTAATATCAAACAGTAATCATTCGGGTAAATGGCTCACTTTTCTTATCAAAGGCCCCCACCACTTGTTTACATATTTCTAGTCGATAAAATTGAAAATAATGTATCGGCAAACTTGGAAATCAGAAAGTGACAATTTATTGTTAAAATTAATTTAATTAAAACTAATACAAAACAGTGACAGCGAGCGGCGTTGTTCAACTCTTTTCGTAAGTAATAATTTAAACGTTACTACAACTACAAATTAGATTACACACCTAACGTTTAGTTGACGTCTTATTTAAAATAGCTAATCCTAAGCTAAAGGATTAAATTGGGAGATAAACCTCTAAAAATGATCATTTCACCCAAAATGATTTTAAAACCATCGATGGAAGTAGAAATCATATTTTATTGAAAAAAGGATGCCGTTCCTACATTTTTATTGAAAAAAAAAACTGAAAATATTAATGTCAGCATTATGACACAGAAATTACATTAAATGAAAATCCTACAACACATCCACATGTGCTGCGGATAATAATTTACAGGTAGACGATTCAGAGATGTTAGAAAATCATATAGATATTGCTTGAAGACTGACATAAAAACGTCTAAAGATTTTGTGGTAGAACTTAAAAATAAAGGATTGATCGAAAATGATCCATGCGATGTTCTTGTGAAAATTAATTTCAAGGCATTCAACTTGAAATTTAAAAAAACAAACTGGCTGATCAAAAAAGAAAACTTATTATATATATAAATATATCTTTATATTATATACAGTTCTTCTGTCCGTGTGTAAGTATTCAAACTCCTCCTTAACCGGTCGATTATGGAAAACATTAAATATTGCTTGACTAATAGTGAAATATTACATGAGAAATTTGCAAAAATATTTTTATCAAAAAAAAAAACTTTTTGTTACAAAAATATATTTGTCTACATTTTTTGAACATTTAAAATTTTCAAATTTTCATTATAAATTAAAAAAATCTGCTTTGTTTATAATTTAGACCTCCGTTATTTATTACATTTATTCAATCAATACACATATAGGTACATTAGAATCATGTACATTCTAATAATTTTACTTTTTTTTACAACCACATTTATAGTACAAAATATTTTCTTTACCATCTTTACAACTAGAATTAACATTATTCAAGCAGTTTTCATTGGTTTACACAATTTTAAAGTTGATAAGTAATTTTTTATTGAGATGATTTTACTTTGTAAAATGTCTGTATCTGATGTAAAAATACATGAAATTATGAAGCATAGACACAAATTGTACACACAAAATCCCCCCCCCCCCAAAAAAAAAATGTCTACTTATTCTTATGATAAGCAATAGTTACTTTTTTTTAAAACCGATTTTGCATGAAAACAAAAATAAATAATGTTGTATAGTTTTAGAGTTTAAATTACTAGTAACTGGAAAATAACACCGTAGTTTCTGAAGAACAACGAGCTAAATTCAAAATGACTTTTTTTTTTTTACTAAAAAATTGCACGTAAAAAAGTGTTTTAATGTAATATTTGTAACAACAAACAATAATTTTCAATAACGTTTAAATTTGTGTATTGTTTCTATGTTTTTTAATTAACAAATTTTTTCTATTTTAACGTTAGTGGTTTTTAATTTTTTTACACTTATACATAACTTGTATTAATTTTTCTATATTTTAATTACCAATTTTTTTATGTTAGTTGTTTCAATTTGTATTATTAATCGTTAAATAATAAATTTAAATGTTTCTCGTTGGAATTGATATTCAAGTCGAAAACTTTGGTCCGTAACGTACACGAGCAAAACTTTTATGAGTTTTGTGCATGAAAAACCGAAAATATTATTACAGTAGGTCATAAATTACTGAACTAATAGAAAAGAGAATGACTTGACTGAATTTAAGAATTCTTAAAGTTAATTTCTACTATGATCTTTCATTATCGTTAATCATAATGTAAACAATATGGGCTCTTTGATAAGAAAAGTCGGCCATTCAGCCGGCTTCAACATAAATTCTTCTCAGTAGTCGGCTATATCGTCTAGTTGTAATATTATATTATGTATTTGTGATTGTGAAACTCACCGCATATGGCACGAGAAAACTGGAATGGATTTCATAAGCCCATTTTTTCATTTCTTTGGCATTGCCCTCTTTGTACAGGTTTGTAACTAAATAGAATAGCTGTAAATGTAGAAAAAAAACCGCAGCAAATTTAGGCGAAAAGTTCATTTTTTTTTTTTTTTTTACTACAACTAATGAATTTGTGAACGTTAAAAACGTTGTCAACACTAACCAAAGACGACGGATCGCTATTCGATATGACATAGTTTAAAAATACTGCTAGGTGTGCGTTATGTTCGACCAGTCTTGTGAAACTTTTGAAGGGCCCGTGTTCTTCCAAATGACTCTGGACAAAAGATTAGGCAGCGCAATAAGTAAAAAAAAAAACAGATTTCATCAAAAAAAGTGTAGACCGTTTATGAAAATATCAAGTGTTGATGTGATTTGTACACACACAACGACTTACAGACTCTTGATCAGAAACATCATCGTCCTCCATCGATATTATCGGCGTCTGTGCTGGTTTCGTATCGTTAGAATCGACCGCATCGGCCAAGCATTGATCACCTTGTTTGTTCTACGCGAACAAAAACCAAACAATACACATTAGAGTTTATTACATAATTTAATAATTGTTTATTGATGCAGTAGTTGTACACTACCGTGTCTACCAATTTATCAGACGGCGACGCGACGTCAACGGTTCGATTGGGCGAATTTCGACGTGGCGGCGAAACCACATCCCAGGCCAGTCCACCTTTCGAATGTTTTACCAAATGTAAATCATTGAAGGACTCGGACAAGGTTAATTTTTTGCTGCCTACAAAAAAAAAAAAAAAAAACAATTAACACCACCGAAATTATAATATATTATGTTGTACAATATATAAATTTTTTTTTTTTTTTTGTTACGATATCAACAATGCGATTCTACGATACTGACCGGTAGGTTTCCCTTCGCCGAGTTGATCCGGATTAGACTTTGTGCGTTGATGACACAAAGACAAATTAGGCGAGTCCTGAAAACAACAACATTACCAACGTAAAAAACTTAACTCGAGATGTCAATGTAAAAGACATCAATAATTGAAAAACAAATCAGAATTGAACAAGAATATTGCAAATAACAAGAAAAATGCGACTACTAGACTACGCATAAAAGCTTCATATTGTACAACAATATTAGGTAATAGTAATATAGAATGTTTCATTAATATATCTACATAGAAAATTACTTTTTTTTTTTTTTACAGACTAAACAGATTATCAAAGGCTTGGTAAATAAATTTTAATATTATAGTAGACTAAGTAGTAGACAAATTTACAATGTTCATGCAATATAAATTATCTAATTTTTTTCTCGCAACTAGTAATAATCAAACTAAATAATATGGTACAATGCTAATAATATACAATTTGTGTTACTACCAAACAGGGAATGGATTTTTTTTTTAAAAATAATGTTTTGGATTATCATACAGTATAACGCAACAGGGGTTTTTTTTTTGTATGTTTCAAAAATACAGTAAAACACATACGTATTGTTTTTTAACTATCATAAATTATAATTATTTAACGGATCAACAACAATACGGGTAGGTAGGTAGGTAGGTTTACTTCTTAATTTAGGTAATTCTTAATTTTCTTGTTCAATAGCAATAATAATATATAGTTAACTTTTTTTTTTATCGTATTGGCGTTTTCAATTTGTTTCGACAATTTAAACCACTATAGGATCGGCTTAAATTGTTATCGACAAATGGTAACGCGTACTTACAGTTTCGTTATTGTTAACACCGGTGCTATTTGAAATATTCGACTGCTTGTCGCTACTAATCGGAGGGGCCGTTGGATTTCTGGGAGGTAGTGGTGGTGGGTTTCTCGGTGGTAGTGGAGGAGGCTGTATTGCAGCAGACGGTTGTGCAACAATATTACAAAGCTGTCAACATAATAAATAAAGATGCATACGAACGTGTTACATAAAAAAATGATGAAAAAAAATACAAAAAAGGAATTGTTTGGTGGCGTGGAAAAAAAAAGGAAAAGGACCAACAGTCGCCAAACTCTTTTGACAGAGTTTGGATACGAGCAATGAAAAGTAGTAATAGGAATAATCTGTGGTAAATTAGTAGTGTAGAAAAACTGTAAAAATAATAATTAATTGCAATTTGAATAGTAATAATAAACAAACAGGTGGTACCATTATAAAATATCATACATTCAACATGCTAGTGTAATGTTTGAAATGTTTTAAAATTTATTAAATCGACGTCGTGCTTGAATTTCAGAAAAAGCGTAACATAACTGTTGAAATATTTACATATATGTCTTAAAACGAAGACGATTTTTTAAAAAAGACAAAAACAGTATATTGTCATTATCAATATAATAACAACTGACAGCGACGATAAAATTTTAAGTGGAAAAAACTGAATCTTTTAAGTTTTCAATTATTTCATTACAACGAGGTTTCGTTAGAAAGGTTTTCATTTGTTTAGTTGTGTACAATAGCAATAATAACAATTATAGAAAAGAAAATGCTTTTGGCCGTACATAAATTGATAAAATGCTCGTCGAGCCAATATAATAAATCAATACATATAATAATTTAGAAAACAAAAAGCAGTAATTCAATACTCTTGGACGGTAAAGCGTTCCCCTCAAATAGACACCACAACAAAGATGAATAATGTTTTAAACATAATATACAGAAGAAAAAAAAAATGTTAAATAATGATTAACTCAATAATAAGACACATAACAACACACACACAACAGAACCATAACAAAATATACACCAGCACTGTTTTATGAAACTCTACACTAAATTACTGTACTAATTGAATCTAAACTGGAATTCTACTTGTATAGTAAAAAAAAAAAGAAGTGAAATATTAAAAAAAAAAAAAAAGACCAAGAAAGTAACATCATCAATGCCCCGTTTAATATATACATATAAACAAAACTATACCCATTTCTCATCATGCATGTATTTTTATATAATTTTTGACATATTGTAGTTTTTTTTTTTTTTTTAATTTTTGTCATAATATAAAAAAGTGAGTTAAAATTTTTCAACAAATTTACACTACCGGTATTTCGTTAAACGAATGCAATTGATCTTGCAACGTTTTTACACGACGTTCGGCGCCCGACAATTCCCGTATCAGTTTGTAGTTATCCCCACCGGCTACGTCTGGCGTTCTCTGCAGTTCTTTTTTCAATGCTTCCACGTACCTCTGTTCTTTTTCTAACATAAGCCGGAATGTCTGCCAACGTTCTAGCTCGACATGTCTCATTTGTTCGACCTTGAAAATTCAAGTTTACACTGTAATGCCTGTACGGGCTTTTTGTTTGTTATGCGTATCATATTATATAATTTTCTACTTTTTTAAAAATTTTATTTCCTGACCAGAGGGGCGGCAATGGTAAACGGCAAAACCACTGAAATACGCGGTGGTCTACTCTGCGGGCAAGTGTGGTTTTAAAAAACTACTCGGCAAGTGCGTATAGCTCCTCGTCAATGACTAAGGTAATACTAATATTTATCGCCATTACGATTTACGAACTACTACAACTAACCATATTATGTTTAATTCATGCATTAATATAGTTTTTGTTTTAAAAAAATATTTTAACAATTGTTATAACAAAATATATTTTAATTTATTATCGAGATCCCTCAAAATAATATGCCTTTAAAAAAAATATTTTAAAGAAATGAATCTTTAAAAAAAAAAAAAAAATTTAATTCCCAATAATGGTGTGTGGTGGGGTTGTAGGATAATACCGATATTAGTAATTAGTTAGGTTACAATCACAGGCGACCTAAAATGTTACGCGAGACAAATATAATATAGTTTTTATTTGAAAAATCTTTTGGTAACATGCGCGATACACAATCGTGTCTATGCAATAACATATAATGGGTACAAAAAAAAAAAAACAAAAAAACAAATAGGTAAATATTCAATGTTAGTAGTGTAATGATTCACATTTTTAATTTTATCGACAAGCGCAAGTTATAATTTGAAATTTAGGCCTGCGACGACATTAATAATTATTATACTTGTAAAGAAATATAAAAAAAAAACGTGTCGTCAAACTCATAAATAACATATAAAATAAAAAATAAAAAACGCAGATACCATAACACAAGTTTTTTCTATACATACATGTGTGTATATAAATATTAAATATATATACATGAAGAGTATTTTTTTTTTTAAATAAAAATGTATACATACATCAACGGGCTGGGGTCCTGTTATTCTATCACGAGCGGGAGCTGAATGATGATGATGCAAGGGCCTAGACGGTGTTACGGTGGGACTTGGCGTTACTGAGGAGGCGACCGTGCCGGAATTCATCGCTTGCAAAGGTAACGGGGGAAGTGTTAGGTTAGGATTTGGCGGAGGATTTATTATGAACAAAGGTTTCTTTTGAACCGTTAATTCCACTTGGGTAGAAGCTGTAAAAAGCGGAGAACATAAATATAGGTATCGTCAATCAATTGGTGTGCGGTGTACACAGCAGCAGACATTTTTTTTTAGGAATGGTCAAACTCACATTTTATAAGCTCAACGACTTCGGTGTGCGTCGAGTGCGTAACGTTAATACCGTTGACTTTGATGATTTTATCGCCGCTATGTAAACCCGCTTTTTCCGCGGCACCGCTCAGTTTTACCGACTGCACAAACACTGGATTGTCACCGGACACTTTCATGCCATACCCCCTTTCATCTTTGACCACTAACACCGTTAACGTAATCGTGGACGACAAAGTCGCAGAGGCGGTGTCCAGACACTCGGCAACGGAAGGTTGTGATAAGTGTTCAGCTGATCTAGATATGGGAAAAATAAGATTGCGCACTGTACTTTTGCGTTCACAAATATTATTACCGTAAATTTAATTTCACATTAAAAATGTATTACGCCCTTTGAAACAAAAAAAAAAAAAACTACCTATAGTTTGCGTATGAGCAAAATAATAATACAACTATATTGTAACTTACTTAATTAACCTACACCTATTTAATAAAGTTTTTATGTTTAACCATAATGATGTCACAGGTCGAGTGAATAAATAAATTAAAACAAAACTATCGAGATCTTTTTGAGAAAACACGAACCTTCTAAATATTGTGTCGTTCACACACGGGGGAGGGGGATAGGGTTTATACCTACGATTTGCGATCGAGAATATTTTTGGACCAATCTGTTTAGGATTCAATTTAATATTAAAAATTTGTATCGCATTGTTTTTTTGTTTACCGTTAATGTTATTATATTTTGTGTTAGTCTCGAGTTGATTTTTTTTCTTATTAGTATTTATATGTAGTAAAATGCACAAAAAAAAACAATCAAAAAACAAAAACAATAATACAATTTAAATACAAAATAACTAGATTTCAGAGGTGGTAAAATCTGTGGTGTGGAAAATTTGCGGATACAAATCGTGTGCAATTTCAAAAAATCAAACAACGCACATGCAACAAAAAAAAAAAATCGGTAATCGACAAACAATATTATATGTACCTACTGAAATAACGAGAAAAAAAAAATATGGTTATAAAATAAGATAAGTCGGTGGTGAGGGGCAGCTCTACACAACAACAACAAAATTAGTCAACAGCGTATTTTGTCGAGAGAAGAAAAAATATAGAGTTTTAATAATAATCAGTCAATTAAATGGAAAAAATATATATATTATGGACCACTGACTAATTATTATTGTAGATACGATTTAAAATTGTATATATCAATTTTATATTAATTATATAAATATTTTGTTTATATATTGCAATAACTATCTAAAAAAAAAACCAACAAAAAACATTTCTTTGGTTATTTCAACATAACTGATAGTTTTGGGGGTTTTTTTTTTTTGAGAAAGAAAACCTAGTAATTTTCAAGTGAAATACATTAAAACCGTATTACACGTGGTGTTAATAACTGTTTAAAAATCGTACAAATGGCGATCATGTCCATACTGTGTGCATTTAAAAATGACCTGTGTTGACAAAAAAACAAGTTAGACATTCATTGTGTAAATTATCGTTCGGCTACAGTATACAATTAATTATTTGTTTAGTCACGACCGAGTTAATGTAGCACAAGTTTAAATGGTAAATATTATAAATGTTAAATTTTTCGGTAATACCCGCTAAAAGTATATTATATTAATATTGTATATCGTTAAAATAATAATATTTCCTATACCTATAATAATAATAATAATGTTTAACAAAATAATAATATCAATAAGTGACACGATATTTAAGTAAACTCTTAACTGTATTTTTGAAATGATTATTGTCAAAACGTTAGTATTTAATAATAATTAATAATATTTTGTTTGTATAAAATGTAAAAAACAATGTTCGACATTAGGTTATGGACTGAACCACAAAGTCTATAAAGACCGTAATCAACATTTTTCAATCCAAAAACCAAAATGTTATATAATATGGTGTAATCGTAAAATATTGTAAATAAAATCAAATATAAGCGTAGGTATTTAACTAATAATAATCATAATCAGGCATAAATTCTACAAAAATAATTATTTCACAAACAAACAGTAATATGAAATGTGCAGATTCGAGTGTACACATGCATTTCGTACATACAACGACGGTAATCGTACACAGTTCCCGGCAGAGGATGATGTTAATGTCAAATAATTAACGTTTCAAAATCGTACAAAACCATTCGGATGGATTTGGAATTGGATGCACATACATTAATTGCATTAACGGAAAAAGTCAAAAGGAACGAGAAGAACATTGCGGCACTTTTACACATGAAACGCCATATGATCGATGAATCAACGCAAACCGACTATGAATTCATAAAATTTGTGTAGTCATATTCGTGTTATAGGCGCAAATGAAATTCAAGGCCAGTTTAAATCTACGTTCGACTCAATTTGAATAATGAAATTCCTAGGATTAGCACTTAAAGCATAGTACCTATAATAATACAATATACACTGTACCAACCTATTAGAATTTTTTTATGGCCAATAAAAATGGGTGTTTTAAAAATATTTAAAAACGATTGAAACCTTCTAAAAAAAAAAAAAAAAACCACAAATCGTGTAGCGTTCAAATTGATAACAATTTATTTTTTTATGCTTATCACAATATTAAAACGTATTGGAAAGGTGTACAGCTATACTCATCTGTAGGATTTTTCACAAAATAAGTCATTGTTTCCCCCACACAACATTGAAAGTGTGTCAAACGTGTGTTCATGTTGTAAAAATTAAAATAATAGTGAAAACACGACGTTGACGTGTTGTACGAATACATTTTAAAATGTCAATGTATTGTATTTTTGTACAACATTTGTGAATACAGTTTTTTTTTTTTTTACAAATTTTTCATGATATGAATCTGATCTTGAAACCGTTTTGTGTGCACAGCAGCTGGCAATGAACAATAATGGTGTGTAGGCAGATCGCAATCATTATGAAAGTCATCACACAGTGCCTACTACTGCTGCCTACGCTAGTGCCGTTACGCTTTAGAGGTATCGACTGTGGGTCGGTCAGGACGATTTATCGTCGGTAATATCCTATCGTTGGATATTGAAAAACGAGCGGAGTGATCGGATTTCTACAAACTGGCCACATTTATGGAAAAAAACGAATCAAATTGGCCAATCAACGATGACCTTGAACAAGGGAACCGGGCACGACGTTGCCGGACCAACATTGGACCGACGAGGAAGCACGGGAAGTGGGCAACGTGTACGTATACGGTCGCAACAAACACACACACATACACTGCCTAGGACCTAGGCAACGTTAACAATATCAAATACTATCGTGTCGTACGACTGGGTCGGGCAAAAGGTACCTTTCTTTATGCGTATCTGCAGCCGTACTTTCCATGGCGCCGGCAGTTTACGATGCACTCTTGACACCAAGAGCTACGACTGATGACACCCGGTGCATGTTGTCTACATGTCGGTTGTCTTCTCATTAGTGTGTTCGCAGAGCGGACGTCTGGCGAACGGCTCTATTTACACACACACACACACACTTTTTTATTATTATTTATCCCGTCATTCGGCGGCGGCCAGCCCGGACACACCACTGTTGCTGCGTCTCGTGTTGTTGTTGTTGTTGTTGTGTCGCTGTCGTTTCTCACCGCACGAGTGTTATCGCGTTCGGGGCACGACGGTGGTTTTATAATGTTATTTCAGTTTCGTTACGCGCCGAACGGTGGTCAACAATGTTTCGCACGCGAATGCGGCGGTGTACGCAACTGTGTGTGTGTGTGAATGCGTATGTAGTGCGCGCGACGCATAAAACGCACTGGGCATGAAAAAAAAAAAACGACGAACGAGGACCGGAACGGCGGCGGCGGCGGCGGCGGCCGTGGCGGCAGCACCGATGATAGTATAATATATATATGAAAAAAAAATCAAGTAACGGAGCAGCAGAGGATAAAGAACCGTAGAAATATATCGAAAAAAACAAGAAACGTAAACAACGATAATAAAACTAAAAAAAACCTCACACGCACACACACACACACACGGTACACTTGTAAATATTCGCGTTAACAAAAATAATAATAATGTAATCAACAAGTAAACTCCACCACCATTGGCGGCCGCGGTGGTGGTGGTGGTGGTGGACGGTGGTGGTTGTGGTGCTCCGTGTGAGAATATCAAAAAAAAAAAAAATCACTTTATTATCACTGACAATGTAATCATATTATATTTATATATATTATTATTATTATTATTGTATATAGCTGCTGGGCTTCTGCGGCTGTTTTGGACCCGGACGGCGCGCATACGCTGGGGATGGAACGTGCCCAAACGCGGCGGACGACGGTGAGGCCAAACCGTTACCCCCACCACGGCGGTTCGTCATCGGCCGCCGCCGCCGCCGTATGGCCGTGTGTACTCACCGCCTCCCCCCCCTCTTCCTCAATCGGCTACGGCGGGGCGCGGTGGAATCGACGAAGAGCGGGGGAGGGGGGGGGTCGTGTACGCCGCCGCCGTCGGTCACCAAACCAACGGCTCTCCGCCAAAACCTAGATAATAATAAAAATATAATATATACATCCGATTTCACCGACGTTTGTTAAGAATATATTTTAACTTATTGTCGATTATATATATTTTAACAATAAATTAATGAAAATTGGGTTTCATCGAGAAGTGCTGGCACGTTGTTTAAAACGTTTGTCGAGTTAAACCAGCCGAAATCGGCTTGTTAAATTGCCATATGTCAGAATATTCTACATTACTAATGTTGAGATTTTTTTTAATTGTAATAATATTATCACTTATCAGTTATCACATTTCCAAGTGATAACCAACGAAATCGAGGTAACCGCTTTGGTATCCCAACTGACCGTTTGTTAACAGCTAAACAAATAGAATTTAATAATAATAGGTAATAAGTAATAACGTAGTATTGAAACTTAACGAATTTGACCAGATGTTAGATTTGAATGAATCGTTAACTAACATTATGTTAAGAGTGTGTTTAATAATAGTTGATGGAACCGGCCGATTGTGTTATATTATAATATATAATAATATGGCCAATGACAGTGTACAACGGAATTATGCTAGAAGAACTCAAGAAAAAAAACAGCGTGCAAGTATTTGGCTATTTATATATATATATATATATATTTTGTATTTTGACAATGAAAAACATGACGTCTTAAACGCATAGGTGCAATTTTAATGGAAAAAAAAAATCGAGGGTGCTTAAGCTGTGTCTTTTCCACGTATTTAAATTTAACTAATTTGAAATTTGTATCTTTAAAGAGACCTCTATTAAGATAAAAAACAATAAAACAATTTTAAATAGTATATTAGTATGATTTACGTAGAACAGACATTATTCTTTAACATTTTTATAAGCAGAGGTATACATTTATACGGCATATTCTAAGCATGAAAAACAAGTGGCATAATCGAAGGATTTATTTTTTTTATCAAATTAAGCAAAATGGCGGCTTCTGTAAGTTTATGTATGCATTTTAAGGGGGGTTTCCCGCTCGTTTATTGCTTATAAAAAAAAATATTTGATCCATAAAAAATAATAAAACCTTCGATTAAACACTAGTTTTTCACGCCTAGAATATTATGTTGTATGAATTTAATTGGAATCCGTCGAGTGGGTATTTCAAAATACAGCGGTCGTACCATTTTGATAACAGATTTTAAATGCATTCAATGGTTCTAAAAATTAAAATTAATTTGCATTTTTTGCAAAGTTTGAGTACCCCTGACTCCTTAAACAAAGGGTTATCGGCTATTGGAAATTTCGAACACGAGAAAACCAGATAGGTATTGATAAAGATTGCCAGAGATTTTCAAAAAAGTGCACACTGGTTTGGGAGTGATTTGAACTTTGGTATTTTGAACTGTAAAAGTAGGAGGCCAAACGCGCAATGCATAAAAAAACATGTAAATCATAAAAAAATAGATCTTTGAATATTGCGATTATTTGGAAACAGAAATCGCACAATGGCGTTTTCAAGGTTTTTTTGTAAAGAACGTGTCGGTTATCAGTTTGATCTACGGTCTTGGTGTTGAACGCTATATATTTTTTTATTAACTGGTTTCCACTTTCCACCGTGTTTCAGTACTAATACAATCGGTAACTGAACCTATTTTTCTAAAAAAAAAAAAAAAAATATATCCAAGAAATTATTACTATTTTCCTTTATTAGGTTATTACGATTGCTGTAAAACAGATTATGTATGAGTTAATTAAAAAAAAAAATAAGTCTACAGGAATTATTACAACTGAAACCGATGAAATCACTTTCAAAGGGAATTTTAGATAGATTAGCATTGTAACGACAATAATAATGTGTTTAAAATTATATTTTTAATCTAAGAGTGGCTAACAAATATAAAGGAAATATTATTTTCAAATAATATGTTGCCCGTCGATTCACTCTGAAATTTACCACAGCCAAAGTGTCGTTTTCCTTGTTAAAAACAAAGTTCGCGGGTTACAGATTTTTGAGAAAATCGTATATCATGTTATAGTTCCATTCCAGATGTACTTGCAGTCTAATTTTTAAAAAAAATAAGACAGCTTATTAAATTAAAATAAAATATAATTATTAAAAATAAAAAAATCAAGCAGACCGACACAGAGTTGTTGTCGATTTGGACATATAAAATCTTTTCATCCCTTGACGAATTTTCCCACTAAATTTTATTTTTTAATCTGTAATTGTATTTTTCGTTATACTAGTTAGCTACATATTTTGTACTCGGCTAATTCCACGATTGTGTGAACGGTCTAAATGGTTAACTCTGTCAACAGCTGTCTATCTAGGAAGTATATTTGGTCACATTCGAATTGACCTTTAGAGTTTTGTGTAGGATGAGCGGCCATATAAAGCCGCTGTGTCATACACTTGCCCACCGAAGTTGTAAATACCGTGTCTACTGATAGTTTGATCATTGTCCACGTTAAAGGATGCCGTGTCTAATTTATTTTATCGAATTCTCGGCAAGCGGATGTAGTTGTAAAAAGATACGCAGGAAATTTATTAGGAAATTGTCGTCAAATTAACCACCCAGTTTCCCCAATTTAATACTCGTTCTTCTGCAAAACAAACAGCTTGACAAAATATACAAGTGACATTGAAAACTAGGCAAATAGGTAGAGCATAATATTAATGCTACTCAAAGTTGAAGATAACTTAAAAAAAAAAAAAAGGAAAGGGAAGTTCTTTAGAGAGCACTACGATTAGGTTAGGTTATATTTTAATTAATCAAGTCCTGCCGTTGACTGTCACTTTTAAGATGTCAGAAGCAGTCTGTGGAACCTTACTCTAGTTGTTACTGTATTGTTGTAGGTATTGCGGTGGCAAAAATAGCAATAATTGACCATTGTAATGTCGTTATAATTGGAAAATCAGCTAATAAGTTTTTCCTATCGTATATTGTTTCCTCGGAAATTCCTTTGAAGTTCTGTGGGCGATTTTCGCCATAGGTTAAATAGGTGTTGTCGAATTGGGCATTTTTAAGATGTCGCCTTGCCTTTACCGGTGTCTGGGATCGATAGCCGTCATTCGAAACCGTGTTGTACCACACACACACACATACACGGTTTTGTCAAAATCCTTAAGAGCCGTTTCCAAGGTCAAACGCATGTACATGTCGAACCGTGACAGTGCTGCACACTAGCGGCCGTGACCGTTGTTACTCTGGATCAATACACTTCGGCAAAACTCGGTCAAAGGGTCACGAAAAGTAAAATTTCACGAAGTAAGCGAACAGATGAGCCGCAGTGTAACCAGCATGACGAAATCACATTTCTCTGGTACATATATTTTTTTTAATTTGTCACTACTGCAACCATCATATGTGATACAAAACGTATCATATCGGTTGTAATGTTATCATATTATGCAATTTGAATTTATCTATTAAGCAACACTGCACAGTTTTTAAAAACACTGGTAATATATCTGATAATCTATGAAAGAATTATTTATATTTAATTATATATATATATTATTTTGTATAAATATATTTTTTATTTACATGTACGAATGGGTTATTAGTATTATTATTTCTTTTTTGTGTGTGTGTGTCTGAATAAGGTACTTTTTTGGGACTAAAATTTAAAAAATCACTCTTCAAAATTGAGGAAAACAAGCCTTTCCTACTAGAAGAGATGGACAATGTTTCTTTTTTTTTATCGTAGTTTTTATACAACTGTTTTACATTATACTAATAATTAATATTACTATATACATTTTAGCATTAATCGTAGGTATACTATTAATAGAAATATAATTTTTATCATTATTAAACATTGTGATTTTTCATTATATTGAAAACATATTAGGTATAGCTTGAAAGAGGAACTGAATAGGTATTGGTTTTACAATATCTAGTCAATTTTTACTTGGACGCGCAAATCTGTGAGGGATTTTCACTGATAATAAATGAAATACATTTACTTAACACTTCGACAACTTCGATTAACACAATATACATATATTATATTATAATTCCATGTCTTTTCAATTTTTATTCCATGGGTTTCCCAGTCATTCTATCTATCTCTTTTTAACAATATTGATCCCACGGCAGTATAGACGTGTGGGAGGCGCAGTTCATTTCTGGACAAAGGGTGATATCACTGAGCTCAATATAATATGAAATTACAATTTCATGGAAAGTAAAAATACTACGTTACTTCTGCATTATAAATATTAAAACGTTAGGTTAGGTGATGATAACACCACAGGATACACAGAAGGGTAGCTTGGGGTTTATCGAAAAACGATCAGACCTATTGAGGAATAGGCAGTGATGCCAGAACGCGGATTTTCCCTTTAATTTTCTGTGATTCGTGGCTACACTGTTCGTTTAATAAATGTCGTACGCCGACAACAGTGTCGTCGCAATTTTCAGCGTTTGTCGAGTGAACCGTTTAGCCGGCATGGACGAAAATTAGAATTTCCCTACACCTACCAGCACTGTCCATCAAGATGTCGGACATGATTTTATCTATTCCCAATTCCCATATCAGCCCGTGTAAAAATTTTAGATTTGTTTTCCGTTCGTTTTGTGACACCGTCATATATTTGATAAATTACGGAGAAGACCATAACTATTCACAATTTGGTGGCCTCCCACTAGTGGTCAATGAGCGTTCCATATTATATTGAGTTCAGTGGGTGGTATAGTGTGCGTGGTGGGCATTGAT